AACTAATCTGTTTGTCTTTTGGGGAAGATTCTGATGTATTTCCTGCAAGTCATCCACTAATTCTTATTTCTTGTGTTATGTTAACTCACCCATTTTTATATGCCTTTCATGTTTATTTGCATACACTGAAAAGCACTCTCCCAACTTTCAAAAGTTCCTCTGTTACATTTTTTCCCCTCATTTGTTATTAATTATATACTAAGCTCTGTCTCAAAAATCTGGGTTAGCCAAAGTTTATTTTGTACTTTGTGTTTTTTTAAAAGTATTTCATTTATTGTCTCTTCTGTCTTTTATCCCAATCAATGTCCTACTTAATTATTTTGCTGTTCTTATTTTTGCTTTACAGACAGAGTTACTTCATTTACTGTCCCTTCCCTAAAATCTCCCCCAAGCACTGCTCTATTATATTCCAGAGACACTGTAATATCATGTTGGGAATATCATTGTTTTTAAAAGATACTACAATTTCGTTTTACACCTTTAAACCGAGTGCTCACTAACAAAACTTTGGTTCGCATTGACCAGGGTTAACTGCAACATGGAGAGAGTGCTATTTTTGTTCTTGTTTTAATTTGTTGTGTTTTCTGTGGATTCATATACGGTTCATGTTCCCGTGTCTGATGTGCCTTCCTTGTTGGTGTGCAACTACAGCTCTGCACATCTATAAGATGGTAAATGACTGATTACGCCATCTATAACCTCACTGTGCTAGTGCACCTGGTCTGCTGAGCACAGAGAAGGATCTGTTAAATCCCCATCATTAGTGTCTGGCTACTTACCATTTCGGTGCTTGTATATCTGCTTTACGAATCTGCTCTTCTGTTTATTTTCACTGATGAACAGACATTATGTTTTCCTTTTGAGTTTTAGCCTTTGGCATTATAAAGTGTCTTTTCCTGGGCACCTGGGTGGCTCAGTCGGTTATGTGTCTGCCTTCAGCCCAGGTCATCATCACAGGGTCCTGGGATCGGGCCCCACACCGGGCTCCCTGCTCAGCAGGAAGCCTGCTTCTCTCCCCCCTCTGTTTGCTGCTCCCACCACTTGTGCTCTCTCTGTTAATTTTTTTTTTTTAAGTGTCTTTTCCTTCTTAAAAATAATTGCATTGGAAATTTGGGGTCTTCTGTGGTTCCATAGAAATTTTAGAATTATTCTAGTTCTGTGAAAAATGATGTTGGTATTTTGATAGGAAATGCACTGAATCTGTAGATTGCTCTGGAAGGGATTACACTAAGTGAAATGAGTCAAGCAGAGAAAGACAATCACATGGTTTCACTCATATGTGGAACATAAGGAATAGCCTGGAGGCCCACAGAGGCAGGGAGGGAAACCTGAATGGGAAGAAATCAGAGAGAGAGAGACAAACCAAGAGAGACTCTTGAATCCAGAAAACACACTGAGGATTACAGAAGGGAGGGGTGGAGCAATGGGGTAACCAGGTGATGGGCATAAAGGAGGGCACTTGATGTGTGCAATGAGGTGTGTGATGAGTGTTGAGTGTGTGATGAGCGAGCACAGGGTGTTACGCGCAACTCATGAATCACTGAACACTACATCAAAGTAATGATGTACTATATGCTGGCTAATTGAAATTAATTAAAAAAAATTAAAAGCAATTTTGAAAAAGAAAAACGACACTGGAAGTATCACAATCCCAGATCCTAAGATCTACTACAAGGCTGGAACAAACACAACAGGATGGTAGGGGCGCAAACACAGACACCCAGGTCAGTGGAACAGGGCAGAGAGCCCAGGAATAAACCCACGATTATATGGTCAGTTAATCTTCGATGAAGCAGGATAGAATGTCCAATGGAAAGAAGACAGTCTCTTCCATAAATGGTGCTGGGAACACGGGACAGCCACATGCAGAAGACTGAAACTGGACCATTCTCTTATACCTCACCCCAAGATAAACTCAAAATGGATGAAAGACCTCAATGTGAGACCTGAAACCATTAAACTCCTAGAAGAAAACACAGGCAGTTATCTCTTTGACATCAATCATAGAAAATTTTTCCTGATATGTCTCCTGAGGGAAAGCCCAAATGAAACTAGTGGGGGGAAATCAAGATCAAAAGCTTCTGCACAGCAAAGGGAACCATCAACAAAACTAAAAGACAACTTACGGAATGGGAGAAGATGTCTGCAAACGACGTCTCTGATAAAGGGCTGGTGTCCGCGGTCTATAAAGAACCCATACAGGTCAACACCCAAAAGCCAAACAGTCCGATTAAAAAGTTGGCAGAGGACATGAACAGACATTTCTGCAAAGAAGACATCCAGATGGCCAACAGACACATGAAAAGATGCTCCACATCACTCACCACCAGGGAAATGAAATCAAAACCACAGTGAGATACCACCTCACACTGTCAGACAGCTGGAATCAACAACGCAAGAGCCAACAGGTGTTGGTGAGGATGGGGAGAAAGGGGAGCCTCGTGTACTGTTAGTGGGAATGCAAGTTGGTGCAAAGTGTGGAGGTTCCTCAAAAAGTTAAAAATAGAACTACTCTATGGATAAGTAACTGCACCACCCAAAGAATATAAAAACACCAATTTGAAGGGAGACATGCAGCCCTATGTCTATAGCAGCATTATCTACCGGAGCCAAACTGTGTAAGGAACCAAGATGTCCACCAACACTCGAATGTCAGGAGGGGAAGGGGAGGGCAGACAGGCCCTCAGGGCCTCCAGGAGGAACCACCCCTCCAACACCTTGACTTCAGACTTGCAGGCTCCAGAAGTGAGAGAGAATAGACTTCTCTTGTTTCAAGCTGCCAAATTCAAGGTGACTTGTTGCAACAGCCCTAGGAAACTAACACAAAATGTTTTTAAATATGTTGAGGACAAATGGGAATGTATTAGTTTCTATTTCAAATCCACCATAAGACATGTGAGTCTCACATGTAATGTATGCTGGGCAGAGGAAGGGATTTTCATCACTAAAATAAGTACACTGAGGGGCTCCTGCGGGACTCCATCAGCTGAAGGTCTGACTGTGGACTTCGGCTAGGGTCATGATCTCAGGGTTGTGGAATCAAGCGCCAAGTTGCGCTGCATACTGGGTAGGGAACCCGCTTGAGATTCCCGCCCTCCCTGTGCTCCTCCCCAACCTCTCTCTCTAAAAAAAGTAATATTACATTTTAAAAAATCAATTCAACAATGAAATAAAATATACACTGAGCCAGCTGGTAGGGCAGCGGGTGGTGTCCCGCCAGACTGGAGTAGGGCTGGTGGCCAGCTGGGGTGCGGCCCCTCGGTGCCCTCCACGCTGGGCCCCCACAGGAGGAAGCAGCAGAAAACCAACCTGCCATCAGAACCGGAGGCAGGAGTCTGGCGCTCAGAGATGTGGGCACTCCTGCTGGCACCGTCAGTGCCTGGGGACTGGGGCACGGACAGTGAGAGATCAGCACTGATAGAGAACTTTGAAGTGTGGACGGATCCAAGTGACAGAAGATGAGGGCTGGAATTTCTGCTGGAGGAGTGTGCGACCAGCCACGGTCACGGTGTCGGAACTGGCGTTTGACTTTCGGACAATCACACACATTTCTGAACCACGACAAACTGACCCAGAAGGACCGGCTGGTGAAGGATATGAGAAGCCATAGGCGGGAGGCAGAGAGAAAAGCGGGTCCTCCGGCAGAAAACGATGAACACAGGAACCACCTGCACGCCGCCCGCGGCCGCAAGCTCTCTGGGAGGCGCCCAGGAGCCGCCCCTCCAGGGTCACGCAACCGCATGGCCGAGCCCAGGGACGGGCGTCCTTCTGACCAGCAGGTGCCAGCAGAGCGGAACGTGGCCCAGGACAGCAGAACGTCCCCGCCCGTGACCCCGTCCAGTAAAGAGGCCCCGTGCTCTGTCTGAGCAGCTGCACCCCGAGACCGAGCGGCGGGAGGGGGTCTGAGCTGCCTGTGTGGCTCTGGGGTCTCGGGGCCACCCACGGAGGGGCTCGGCGAGCACGGCTAAACCGGGTGGCGTCGCTTTTGCTCAGGGAAACACAGCCAAGCGAGCCGGACCCCGTGTGTGTCCGCTCGTCTCACCCCCACACGCAGCCACACAACCACCTCTGCGGGGGAGGGGCCGGGAGCAGCCCGAGAGCCGCTGCGGACGGGGTCCGCTGGGCCACCGGGTGAACAAGAACGATGCCCAGCAGCGGCCGCGGCACCACGGTGACGACCCCATCAGACAGCGAGCGGGACTGCCGGCCAGCGGAGGTGGGGGCGCCCGGCTCTCCCCTCTGGCACCACCCGCGACCAGATCCTGCGGTGCGGGCTGATCGGTGACGCCCCCCACGCGGAGGCTCCTCGTGACGACACCGCACGTCTGCGAACAGATCAGCCCCGAGGGAACCCCTGGTACCACGACAGTCCGAAGGAGGCAGAGCTGCCGCAGCGTGAGGGAGCCAGCCCGGGGCTGAGACGTCGCCAGGGCCTGTGCCTAAGGCCCAAAGTGGCCGACCGGGAGACGCAGGACATCCTCATGACAGGCAGCGACCGCCGGGACGCACGGGAGACTGCGGCCCGGACCCTGCCAAGTCCTCGCCATGCCAGGGCCGATTCTGAAAGTCCCTTTCCCTGCGTCCTTCCCCTTCCCAACCCTACGAATCAATAAAAGCGCTTCTCTGGAAAGTCAGAAAAACGAACAATAAAATCAGTACGTTGTTCCCAAAGACATCCAAAAGAAACACTCCCGGTGAGAACCTCGGATCTGATGTTTTACTTATCACTGTTGTTACCTGGTGATCTGCAGGAGAGCAGCGTGGAGCAACTCCTTCCACGCGGAAGACAACTTGTGCCATGACTGATAGATGAATAAAGAAATAAGTTAACGTGTGACTGGGGGTTGAAAAATCAGGCCTCACCAATACTAACACAGGAGGGCCGGTCACAGCTCTCACGTCACGCTTATTAAAGGTGTTCGTGCTTATAAACTGTCTCCACAAGAACGAGCAGAGGGGTCAGGACTGAAGTTGAAGCGACGTGCCATGGTGGCACTTACGTGTCTGTCCTCCGCACCAGAAGCCACGTAGCGTCCGCACGGGCTGAAGGCAATCCCACAGGGGTATCCGTGGTTTGGATGCCCCTCAAAACAGCGCTCGCATCTATAGGAAAAAGAGAAACACCAGGAGAAAAATAGGATTCTTTAATTTTAACACAAAGGGGCAGAGGACGCGGACACGCAGCCCGTCTTCCCGACAACGAACGAACCAGCGCTGAGACTGGCACTCACGAGTCATTAAAGGCCAGCAGGCCGTCCCGGACGTGCAAAACAGAAACAACCGTTTCCAAACCACAGATTACTTGGCTCAGTGATCGAAGACTTGGGCAGCTGCAGGGCTCTCTCGAGCAGGTCAGGTGCTCCCGCCAACCACCTCCGACGTGTTACAGACGTGGGGGGACCCGGGCCGGTTCCAGGAAAGCCTGCGCCAGCGTGGGCCAGCACAGGGCTGGGCTCCGGGGGCTCCAGGGTGCCACACTGAGCTGCCGCCAGAGACGGCCCCTGGGAGCGCCCCACCACGTCACAGGGCCTTTTATCCCAACCTCGCCATTACAGAGGAGAGCAGGGACACTGCTCACGCTGCCCCTGTGGCCCAGCCGTGTGCAGTCACACACACGAGCACTGCTGACACTGGGCTACATACGCTCTTTAGTGATCAGTCCCCGTAAGGGAACAGGGACAGCCCGATACGTGCGCTCGCAAACTGTTGCTTCGGAGCATCTCATGACCCCCTGAGCATCTCGGACCCTCAGGGCACAGGGCACATGCACAGACCGGAAAGACCAGCACCGCTCCCGTTAGCGTTCCAAAACGCTGTGACCTGTTCTGTGTGTAAGTCAGGCTTCTCTTAGATGCGTCAGCGGGAACGGGGTCACCACAATCACGCCGTATTCGGAAAAAAGACGTCAAACGGAGTTCACAGGCACTGAGCCCATGTGCCCTGATGTGCCCCGACCTGCGGCCTGCAGGCGGGGACGGGCCTCACCTCAGGGTTCTCACGTCCCACAGCTTCACACCGTCCCCAGTGGCTGTGGTGGCAAACAGGTTATACAGCAGCGGCTGCTGAGTCGTGAATGACGATCCCTAGGGTCGAAGCGGAGGAAACGAGACGTGCTCTTTAGAGGCTGAATTCATAAACCGTGCAACGACGCCTAACGACAGTGAATGTCAAGTAAGAAACGGACGCAAAAAAAAAAAAAAAAAAAAAAAAAAACTGGCCTCCAAAAACATCCTTCTGAATAATTCTGGGGGTTTTTTGCCTTTTTTAATTTTTTCAGTGATCCAAGATCCATTGTTTATGCACCACACCCAGTGCTCCATGCAATCCATGCCCTCCTGAGTACCCACCACCAGGCTCCCCCAACCCCCCACCCCCCTCCCCTCCAAAACCCTCAGATTGTTTCTCAGAGTCCACAGTCTCTCATGGTTCATCTCCCCCTCCCACTTCCCCCAACTCCCTTCTCCTCTCCATCTCCCATGTCCTCCATGTTATTCCTTATGCTCCACAAGGAGGTGAAACCATATGATAATTGACTCTCTCGGCTTGACTTACGTCACTCAGCATAATCTCCTCCAGTCCCGTCCATGTCGATAGAAAAGTTGGTGCAGCCACTTTGGAGAACAGTGTGGAGATTCCTCAAGAAATTAAAACTAGAGCTTCCCTATGACCCTGCCATTGCACTACTGGGTATTTACCCCGAAGATACAGATGTAGTGAAAAGAAGGGCCATCTGTACCCCAATGTTCATAGCAGCAATGGCCACGGTCGCCAAACTGTGGAAAGAACCAAGATGCCCTTCAACGGACGAGTGGATAAGGAAGATGTGGTCCATATACACTATGGAGTATGATGCCTCCATCAGAAAGGATGAACACCCAACTTTTGTATCAACATGGACGGGACTGGAGGAGATTACGCTGAGTGAAATAAGTCAAGCAGAGAGAGTCAAGTCTCATATGGTTTCATTTACTTGTGGAGCATAAGGAATAACACAGAAGACATGGTGAGATGGAGAGGAGAAGGGAGTTGGGGGAAATGGGAGGGGCAGACGAACCATGAGAGACTGTGGACTCTGAGAAACAAACTGAGGGTTTTGGAGGGGAGGCGAGTGGGAGGTTGGGTGAGCCTGGTGGTGGGTATTGAGAAGGACACATAGTGCATGGAGCACTGGGTGTTACACACAATGAATCTTGGGACACTGCATCAAAAACTAATGACATACTGTATGGTGACTAACATAACACAAGAAAAAAATGTCCATCTTCCTTCCATGCCAAGAATATCCATATTATTAAGAAAAATGTAATAAAGTGGTGCATGGGTGCCTCAGGGGGTTAAAGCCTCCGCCTTCGGCTCAGGTCATCACCCCAGGGTCTTGGGATCGAGCCCCGCATCGGGCTCTCTGCTCAGTGGAGAGCCTGCTTCCCTTCCTCTCTCTCTCTGCCTGTGTCTCTGCCTACTTGTGATCTCTGTCAAATAAATAAATAAAATCTTTAAAAAAGAGAGAGAAAAATGTAATAAAGTACATCTGAAAGCGTTTATCCTTGCAGTGTGCACATACGTCAAGGTCATTCTTCAGTTACAAATAGGAAATGAAGGTTTACATAAACCCAACAACAAACTAACAGAGAGTCTTAACTCTGTGCCAACAGCATTCTAAACACTGAACATTTCATCCTCTTAACAAACTTATGAGACATAAACTATTTTACCCCATTTCAGGTGAGAAACATGACACAGAGGAATCCGCTCATGGCCACCCAGCTACGCCTCTCAAGAGAGCTTAACAGTCCACTAACGATCACAAGGTCAAGACAGCTTGTAACGCTAACACCCAGACAGTTCAATAGCCATCCAGCACACATCCAGAGCTCATGCACTGACACTGGGCACTGCGCAAGGCCCTGAGTCTGAGAACAAGTCCAGACCTAGTTCAACAGGAGGCAGAGTTATACCTTACAACACTGCCAGTTTCTTGAAGCTAACCAGTAAAAAACCAAAAGCATTCACAGGGATAAAAAGAGAATTAAAATCTTTTTTCAATCAATCCAATTGAGACTAAGGAAGAAGAAATGAAGAAGCAAAGAAAATGCACAATAAATAGGAAATACAGAAGTTTTTTTTTTCTCTTTAACGTAGAAAGCATAAAATGTATGAGTAATCATACCAATTGCACACTAAACAAGTTAAAAAATAAAGAAGAGATTCTTAATTGGATTTCAAGAAAAACTCTTAAAAAATTATTTTTGAAGGCTGAATGTGAAGGGTGAGGGAAAAATAGCATATACTAAAGAAAACAAGGCAAGATAGATTGCATTAGTACTCGAGAAAATAGTTACCAGGCAAATAAGACCTCATTAAAAATAGTCTGTAGATGTTATAAAAGGAGCACTGCAATGGAAGCACAAGAACCCTGACTTAGATATCCCGAACGACACAGCCTGTAACTCTATGGGGCAAAAATTAATAGAATTATAAGAAAAATAGACAAGATTACAATCATAGGAAGAGATGTTAATACATTTCTCTAATAAAAAAAAACAATTGAGAGTACAAAAAATTAGGAACATGAATAACTTGAGTACAACGAATAAAGTTGGGCCAACAGACGTCTGTGCACCGTGGCGGGTGAGAACATCTTCTTTTCATACACACACACGTGATAGCCATAAAAATCCACCGGGGAGCCGGTTTCTCAATAAATGCAAAAATCCCAGCAGCAGAGGAGAACCAGTGGCATACGGGTCACGTGCATAGAACACCACGCCATGAAATCAGAAACCAGTCACAAAAAGTTTACCGAAAACAAGCTCGTATGTGTAGAAATCTAAAAGCACACATCTAAATAAAGTCTAGGTTTAAAAAAAAAGTCATACTGGGAATTAGAAACTCTCTAATGGGGAACAAGCGTCACGTGGCACAGGGACACGCACAGTCCGCTGCCGTCATGGGCAAGAAGAACACAGCACACGGCCCAGGACGCAGTTTGATGTGTCGTGGGAAAGAGCCGCACGAAATCCACTTGCGGTCATCAAAGAAGAACAAGGCAGAAAGATACAGAGCAGATTGTGTCTGTCCCCACAAGCACTTCATTTCTTTAAGAAAAAAAAAAAAAAAAAAAGATAATAAAGTAATACATTTCAAGGCGATCATATGGGTTTTACTGACCACTCCTGCAGGAAAAAAGTTCTCTGTGTGATACGATTTTCCATAAGAAAACTATTTCAACCATTACATATTTAATTTTTTACATCAAATTAGCTGTATAGCATTGTGTATCCAAATCACAAAAATGTGTATACCTTATTCAAGCATTGAAAAGAAGTAACAGTCAAGTTTTTATTATACATAAGGGAAAAACAACAGCTATAATTTTTAAAGAGATCAATAAATCATAAAAGATATGTGTATTTTCATTGTAAAAATAAATCACTTAATATTATCACACCATTTAAAAATAGGACACTATGGCGCTCATGCTTTGCCGTGGTACTCTTGTGAACGTGATAAAAGGGAGCCGTCTGCTTCTCCAGCCACGATCGCGGGGCAATCCCCAGGAGAGGGGCTGCAGGCTGCGCGCCGGCGCGCTTGCACAAGAGCGTTCTGCTGCGTGACGAACATGGCTACGCTCTTCCTGAGCTCAAGAGAAATTCGGAATGATCTCTTTCGCGTTTTACTGGAAATATGGCATTTGGGCCAGTTAGGATCTGTGCTCCGTGAGCACTGCTGGGCAGCAGCCCCCACGGCGGCGGTTAGTCAGAACACTTGAATGCATATTGAGTAACTGAACAAAAATTTAAGAGAAGCTTAGAAAAGGAAAACAAGCGATTAGAGTACAGTGTGAGCATCTGTAACCTTACACTCCGTCCCTACCCTCCCGTCACATACCACTCAGACGGGTATTTTCAGGGAGTCAAACCAGTTATTTGTCCCCAGTAAGTAAAAACCTCAGGACTATTTTTCCTCATACCACACCTCCCATCCAAGAGCACACCACCACGATGCCCGAAATACCAGTCATCACTGGAGGACCACGTCAATCTGAGGTAGACCAGGCTACTGTTGGGTCATTGCATAAGCTGCTACTTAACGGAGAAGAAATGTTTTCAAGCAGTTTCCTAGAGCAAATGCACGAAAACTCAGAATGACGAGAGGTTTCCTGAGAGGGACAGAGCGGTCACCGTGTCTCCGAGGAGGAACGACAGCTGCTTCTTCACAGCAGTGGTTCTGCACGGGACACCGGTGCGCCTAGAGCGGAGTTCCCTAGGGCTCTGCAGAGACACTGTCCCAGAGACCCCATGTCCATCAGGAAGGGGCCCCCTGGACTGCTGCAGCCCCAACCTCTCCACACCAGCCAGGGAGCCAGCATGTGGGCAGGAGCAGCCCCAGGCGGCTACCCGGGCAGGGGGAGCTCCATCTACGGAGCGTCCTGTGAAGCTGGCTGCTGCAGAGGGAGCAGGGTGAGAGCCCACGCAGCAGCTAGGGACGCCCCAGCGGCCGGGAGGCCGGGAAGCCACCAGGTGCAGGGGCATGGCGCAAGTTGGTGCTGCCACTCGGGATCCCATCCCCCACCTGCTGCTCCATCCCATCCCTTCTCTCGTCCCCCACCCGCCACTCCACGGAGGGGGACTTGCGCAGCACCACGCACTCCCCGAGCACCAGCGCCCTGCCCGTGGGGGAGAAGACAGAGCGCAGCACAAGCCCTTCCAGCCAGAGCCAGCGGCGCAAGGTCACGGTCTCTATGTCCGTCGCTCACGCACACCCACGCAAGCATCAGCACGGTCCCTCGCCTTCCTGCTCGGCCTCCACAGCAGCTGCCCTGGACCCACAACAAAGCCCACCCCATGCCCAGAGCCCACAAGCTCCACCTCGGGCTTCCCGCGTGGGCCTGCATGCTGCTCTCCTGACGCACACGCGGCCACTCCCGTACCGCCTGGCCCTGTGCCCACCTCACCTCCTCAGAGAGGGCACACAGAAGAGCCTTGGCACAGCGTGTGTGTGGCTGTGTGAACCCGCCCCCCTGCAGTTCATCCGTCAGCTGTGAGGACCCCACTCCCTCCTGCACACGTGCACCCCAGGGCTCACTAGCGCGGCAGGTGCAGACCCGCCGAGACACACATCTAGAGGAGTCGGTCGCTAGCGTGGTACATGTGCACACACACGTGTGCACGCCAGTACACGTGTGTTCATGTGTGCATCTGCATGTCCCGATCCGGTGCAGGCCACGAGGGTGGTGGGGACAAGGGGCAGGCTCTGGCACATTTGGCCTCCACCATCCCCTACGACCTCGCCGTGGTGAGTGCAGCAGTCGTGGAGGGACTGGACCCCAGCTCTGCTCCTCAGGCTCATGACCAGGCTGTGGGGAAGGCCCAAGCCTGGACACAGAGACACGGCACAGAGGCCCCGAGACCACAGGACCCCACGGCACTTCGGCCGAGGGCGCACTCGCCACTGATGCGGCTCAGGAGACTGGCAGAAAGTGTCTCAGCGTCCGTGTGCATGCATCGGGGTCTCGGAGGACGGAGCTCGTGCACGCTCAGCCGGCCATGTCCGTACACGTGAGCTACGGCATGTGCACCTGTAAGAGTGTCACAGGCAAACACCGGGCACTTCCCTCCTCTTGTCCTGGTGAGTGCCCCCTGCCAGGAGCTAAAAGTTACCTGAGCACGACGCATTCCACCGAAGCCATCTCTGGTACAAGATGAGGGCCTGGGCCCAGCAACCCCTAGGTTCCCTCACAAGCCCAGCCTGAGACCTAAGTCCACAGAGGGATGAGACAGGAGGGCAGCAAGGGCCTGCAGTCCAAGTCCAATTCTGTCTAAAGGGTTCCTGGGAACCTTGAGGAATTTCAAGGAAGACACTGACACGGTCACTTGTAGTTAGCAGTGGGAGTGCGACTGCGTTGAGGAAGAGCCTTGCAGAGACAGCGGAGTGGGGTGGGAGCAGGTGGCGCCTGGGGCGGAGGACAGACACACAGACTGCACAGGCAGCGGCTAACTAGGCAGCACTGGGCGCGCTTGTGGCGTTCACGCGTGGGTTTACGTATGCGAGTCAGGCTGTGAGGACACGCGGAGCACAGGGAACCTCCTGGCTTTTAGCCCAGACTCACCAACTGCATGGGCTAAGGCAACCTAGTTTATGTGCCTTCAAATTCCTCCTAAAATCGAGTTCTGCCTGACAGTATGTGACAAGGGAGAGTCCCAGTCAAGTGCAGCCTTCCCCAGTCTTCCCAGGACCCGGGAAACGTGCTCATTACCACCGGCACACTCAGTCATCTCACATCATGGCACTCGCACAGTCAGCTTTGTGTAAAATGACCCTTGTCCCCACCCACCACCTTCTGTGTTATAATTTCTTTGAAAGTGATTTCTTAGTTCAGATTCCGACCTTCCACTGCAAGTAGCAAATTCCTGAGCCTTAACACTGACAGGAACAAAGGGATTGTGTGAAATTAGGTGGATTTGAGAAGTGAGAGTTTTTAAGGCAATGCCCATCAACCTTCATAAATTTATATTTAAAAATTACAGGAAGAATGGTTGCCATTTAATGAACTAGGAATATGTTAAGAGATTTACCGGCATTACCTCACTTAACCCCTACAATAGAGAAAAGTAATGAATGCAAAAGATTTAAAAGTCTTCTACCATGAAACGGGAGCAGAGGAATGGAAAGAAAACCGTAAGATGTCAGACAAAATAGCATCACATTATTTTTCAAAATGAAACAACTTTTTTGAAAATATGAGAAAATTGTTTAGTTTAAAAGAATTATCTTTAGCATTATCTTAAAACTAGGGTTATAATTTTTATAAGTAAAAAGCATTTCAAACTCCAAAACTATATTTTGTATTTCCAATTTAATCAGCTGAAACAATTAAAACAAATTTAGAACCAAATGGAAAAAATAAATCTCAGACTGAGATTTTCAGATTTTCATAATAAGTTTCATCTAGATAAAGTTTTGATGGCTCTGCAATAAGTCCCAGAAAGAAATAAAGAACAGAACAAGTAAAAGAAAAAGAAAATAGGGCTTTTAATGGAAATGTTGGCAAACCACTTTCCATACACAAAAAATGATGGTGGTGGTGATGGTGATGATGATGATGGTGATGATGGTGACGGTAGTGATGGTGATGATATGATGGTGGTGATGGTGATGGTGGTGGTGGTGGTGATGTTGATGATGGTGGTGGTGGTGATGGCGGTGATGGTGATGATGGTGATGATGGTGACGGTAGTGATGGTGATGATATGATGGTGGTGATGGTGATGGTGGTAGTGGTGATGGTGGTGATGGTGATGGTGGTGGTGGTGGTGATGGTGATGATGGTGACGGTGGTGATGATGGTGACAGTGGTGATGATGGTGACAGTGGTGGTGATGGCGATGATGGTGGTGATATGATGGTGGTGATGGTGATGGTGGTGGTGGTGGTGATGTTGATGGTGGTGATGATGGTGACGATGGTGACGGTGATGATGGTGGTGATGGTGGTGATGGTGGTGATGGTGATGGTGGTGGTGGTGGTGGTGGTGGTGATGGTGGTGATGGTGATGGTGGTGGTGGTGGTGGTGGTGATAGTGGGGATGGAGTCTTAGGATTCTTTCTCCTTCTTCCTCCCTCTAAAAAACCCCAGAAATCAAAGAACAATGATACCCTTGAAATCACAATGCAGACTTCAGAAGGCATTATAAATAAAAGTCACTCCAAATAGATCAAAAAACAAAATTGTAGTTGTAGTCTTAAAAAGAGAAGTTTTGTTTACAAATCTCTCAGATGTCTTTGGTTTGCAAAGTGTCTTTTAAACTAAAGTATGAGACAATGAATTCTTCAAAACAGCACCCCTTCTAGTCTGCAGGCTCTAAGCCTCAGCTGGAGGTGGTCTTAAACCACTACCCTGTCCAGACAGAGCAGGTGCACCTTCAAGAGGGAAACTATTGGTTCCGGAAGGCGGCTTCGCCTTCCAGCAGGAGCTACGTGGCTCACTTGGTCGCTCAGTCTGAAACACCCAAACCCTCCACCAAGTTTTAAGTGTGAAGACATCACTAGTAAAGTTGAAAAATAGGCCCATAAAATAATCAAAGACAAAAATACAAAGTTTCACATTCCATACGATATTAAACCATCTTCTAAGGTCAAACTTCAAGGCCTAGAAAACTGAATGATGACCAAAAATAGCATTGGATATTTGGTAGCAAAGTGTTAGAAACCTGCATCAGACATCTGTACGAGTCCAACACTTAAAGACACATTTCACAAATGATATGCGCTGTCAACAGCTTACTCACTTTATTCTGGCAGATTTGGTGGACAGGCCGGGAATGGGCTTCCACTATCATGGCTGCACTGCGAGCTGCATTGAGGTCGAAAACCTCGAGAGTCCTGTTCCTGCCAGCCGCAAGCACCAGGTCTGCATGACGCAGTTAGGGAACTCCTCTCCACGATCCGCCAGGGGAGGGGGCGGCCCCGCATATGCGGTGAGCACTCTGGGGCACCAGAAGACACACAAAGGATGACGGCTACAACTGTCTGCGCTCACAGCCCCACTGCCCCCTTCTGCTGCTGGGCATCCATGGACGAGGGCAGACCCAGTGGTACACGTCCCAAGGCGGGAGGCACACAGGTGTGACTTCAGCGCCATGAGGCCTAGGTATCCGGAAATGCCCAAATTGAGAGCCGGAGCGGCAGCTGCATGGCTGCGGACTGAGCTCAGAGGGCCGGTCTAAGGGCAACTCAGGCAGTGCCAGCGTAAATGTGGACGGTGCCGTCTGGAGCCCGCCACACGAGAGCACGCACCTGCCAGCGCGGCAAGCCGCCAGCCACGCCTTGCCCACGTCCACACTCGGGGCAAGAGCGGCAGCGCATGGACTCAGGGCTTGTGTCAGCACCAGAATAACCCCACATCCGGTGGCCACTCAGAACACGGTCATCAGTGGCAAATGTGGGAGAAAGAGCGCCAGGTTCGGTAACTAGCCCAGCGCTCATGCTAAAATATGCAGAAAGCACCGTTTAAGGCCAGAGTACTCAGAAGGACACATTTCTGCTAGATGTTGTGCTGTGTGTGTACCAAAGGGCGCTAGCAACACATTTCTAATTAAAATACTCTAAAACCTCTAATGCCTTATCTCAGTCCTTCTGAAATTTCAACTATAAAACTCTTAAAAGAACATAACTTAGACCTCCAGATAACTTCAGATTTTATAAAACAAATTTCAAAAGATCAGAGCTTTTCTTCTAAATAAATCAAAATCAATGTTTTTAACTGAAAGGGATGATGCCGGACAAAAAAAAGTCAAAAAATAAACTTCTAGACTCAATTTCCTACTCGGTGTCCCTGCTGTAACTTCTGCTGGGCTCTAGAGAGCTGGGGCAAACTTCTGTTAATGGAAGGATGCCCATCGCAAGTGTACCAGCTTATTTTTTAAAAGCACAAACTTACTACATATTGTACAACAAACTACAGACCAGAAATGCTGGGTTACATCACCCTGCTGTGGGTCATGTGCTCTGTCGCACGCATGCCTGGTTTTCCTGTGAAATTCTTCTCACCACGGAGATGGGATCGCTACGCACGTAATTACGCAGAAGACGTGCGTGCCCTGAGTCCCACTGCCCCGGCAGGCGCCTGGAGCCGGGACTCTCAGCAGATGCTCCTGCTGGGACGCTGATGCTCAGGGCGTGGGAACCAAGAACAGAGGCAAGGATACAGGAGTAGAAGTCGTTTACGGCTGATAAACTGGTAATCCCCGTCGCACCGGTCGTACGGAGCCTGAAGACACGTCTGCACCAGCTCTTCTGTCTGTATCTGAAAAAAAAATAAAGACAATCGGTCTTTCTGTTTCTCTCCCACAACTGAGCATTCTACCATTAAAAAGGTGAATATGAAGAAAGTTTTCATATTACTTTATAATTCTATTTTATAACATCAAAGGAATAAGTCGGCTGCCTTAATTTTCTTTTAGGAAACTCTAACTTTTCCTTTAGGAAAACTTCATGAAAAAATATCATATAAAGCTCCAAATAATTCATTATTGTCTGTGAGAAAGCAAATTTTTCTCCTAATTCTAAAATAATCATGTACACTTAAGACTTCCAACTCATTATAAATTATCTGTATTTCCATGAACGCATGTTGTTAATATTTCTAAAGGACAAGGTATGCACTTAGTATCAGTTTAACAAACATACGACCTCAAGGATCCCTAACAATTTTGTAAAGGAAAGGAACCTGCTAGCAATATTTCGATGTGATTGTGGCCCAGGCAGGGCCAGAGGAGATCTCTGGGGATGGCCCAGCGGGGCAGGAGCAGGTGGGGGGTGGGGCAAAGCACCAGGACGACTGGTATCTGAGCCTGCTGGGTGGGGGGATGAACGGGCCATCAGCCTGTACCTTCCACAAGGCGGTGAGAGCTGCATGGGGGCCCGCGGCCATATATGCAGGCTAGGCTCAGAGACAGTGACTCAGGGAGCAGGCCCTGGGGGCAACACACATGCAGGGGTCAGCTACACAGACTCAAGGGCAAACAGAGTCACAGGAGAGGTTTGACAGGAAGCTCAGTGACAACACAAAGATCCCACAAATCACTGCGCATCCCTGCTGAAAAAATGCACGGGATCATTCAGTAGGTGGTGAATAAGGCAGAAAGCCGCTGTTTCATGGGGAGGGTCGTGGGAAAGCTCTGTAGACACCACAGACCAGGAGAGGCATGTCAGAAAGATCCTGCAGGCCAAGGGAGAACACACGTGTCTGAAATCAGGTGGCGCTGGGGGTGGTGGTGGTGGGAACAGGGAAGGGACCGTCCGCATTTAAGGCCACGTACTGCTGTGGCAGAGCAGGCCACGCGGATGGGCAGGGAGGCTCTGCTCCACGAGAGGGGCCACGGCACACTGAGGGGCCAGCCGGAGCCCTGCCCGAGGAGCAGACAGCGGGGCTGAGGGGCGCTTGTGCCTGCGGCCGTGTGAGGTCTGGCGTCCCATCGTTTGAAGCCTCGCCACCTGGCCGGTTCCCGAGAGTCACCCGCCCTGGTGGACGCTGGCGCTGAAGCGGGAAAGCAGCCGCAGCCCAGGAGAGCAGCAGGCCTGGGAAGGCCCTTCTCAAGCAAGCTCCATGCGGCGTCTCCCCAGACGGAGGCGGTGAGGCTGCCCGGGCCACACACGACCACACTGAAGGGTCCCCGGGTTCACAAGGAACCCCGCGAGTGCGTGGGAGGCCAGCGCGGAAGGACTGAGGCGTGAAGGCCGTCTCCGCGCCGCAGCTCTGACTGCTGGACCGGAAGCGGACAGTCTGCAAACACAGTACTTCCTTCCAGGGAACCGCACTATCAACACCGTGAAGACGTCAGAAACTCTCGGCTCGTAACACTCAGACCCTAACCTGCCCCAGACTCAGGCCCGGAAGGGGCAGGCACAGAACAACACGCCGCAGCCTCGCGAGCCCAGGGGCCAGGAGCTGCGGGGGAAATGCGGCAGGGAGCCCACAGCACTCTCTGCCATCTGCCGGCCACGCCGCCCGCGCCCGGCTCACAGGCAGCTGTGACCCGTGGATACACCACACCTGAGCCAAACCCATCCTGGCCTCAGCACACAGCTCTTAGCCAAGCGGCTGACCCAGGAGGCGGCGAACCTCCCAGCTGAGATCCGGGGCACCTGCCAGGTGTGCAACTCCTCCGCAGCTGCAAAGCTACCTAATAAGGCTACTAAGCCAAAAACTTGCCCACAGGTCTCCCGACAGGCACAAGCAACTGGGGTGAAAAAGAACCCACAGTGACACGAGACAGACCCTGAGCTCAGACTCCAGAAGCGTGAGCCTGTTCAAACTCATACACCCCACGATAAGACCACCAAGGTGCTGATAGAGGAGGGAAGTCTCCAGCAACCACCAGTCTATAAACCCAACCATCCCTGCCCACGTGTTCCTGAGACAGGTCCCAGCCCCAAAGGCCTGGGATGCTCCCAGGGTCTGCAGCCTGCTGGCTTTGGCACGGACTCCCCCATCGTGCTCCTGTAAGAACATGGCTGTGATGCCTGGAGCCACAGCAGCCACCTTGGAATCATACAGTGAGAGCAGCAGACAGTCCTCAAGCCTGTGAGCCTCCTCCCTCCAGACAGCTCCAGTCCAGGCTGAATGAAGCACCACAGTCAGCTGCTTAGTTACAGGAAGGAGGACAGCATCCCCTGCAGAGAGGGGAGGACAGACAGCCTCCAGAGAAAGACAAAACCTGCCCTCACTGTGTGTGCCACACACAGCTCGCTGCTGGCAGAGCAGATCAGATCCGAGTGAAATCACCCCCCCAGGGCCCATGTGCACACGGGCACAAGGCATCCAGCACCGCACTGGTTCGAGCACAAGGGTGAGTCGGAAGAAGCTGATCTCCGGCAACAAGAGGACGGGAGAGGAAGCCGCAGCACGTTCTTGTTGCATAAAATTTCCTAACAGCTGCTGCAAAGAGACTTAAGTCAAACTGACAAGTATGGTTAAATCTCAGAAACAGAATTCGGATTACGGTGACAGGTGTGCTGCGGGCACGGGAGCAAACACAGCAATCTCGACAAGAAAGTTACAACAGCCAAGACTGGAAGCAGCCAGGTGTCCACGGGCAGATGAGTGGATGAAGATGAGCCACGCCTACGCCCCGAGGAACACGACTCAGACATCAGAGAGGGGGAGACCTTGCCGTGTGCAGCAAGGATGGGCCTGGACAGCGGGACGCTAAGCGAAGTAAGAGAAAAGCAGATGCCCCACGACCTCACTTACGCATGGAATCTAAGAAACAAAGAGCACCAATGACAGAACAGCAACTGCTTCATGCTTACAGAGAACGACCCGGTGGCTGGCGGAGGGGGGCGGTGGGGGACGGGAGGGAAAGGGGATGATGACATACAGGTCCTGGGGCTGGGAGTGCAGCACAGGGGACACGGTGAACAGAACTGGTAACGTGTATGGTGACGGACGGCAGCTTCACTTGCCACAGTAGGAAAAAAAACAGGAAAGAAGGGGCGGGAGCCAGCCTGGGAAGGCAGGCCACGGGATATCGCTACAACGTTTTATTTCTTTAAAAAGTCTGAAAGCAAAACAAGTGTTAATACTTGCACAGGGAGGTGCGAACACGTTTGATCTGTGTATTTAGTGTGTGTGTGTGTGTGTAGGAAACGGTTCATGGTTTAACTTCACTACAAGCGCAGCAGGAATCGTCCCGCATAACGTCAATCAGAGGCGTTATGCTGAGCCAAGGCAAGAGCGCCACGTTCCGAAGCCCAGAGCTTCTGGTCGCACCAAGGCCCCGCACGCAGCACTGACGAGCTCCGGGGAGGAACAAGCCCGCCCTCAGCTCTGCCAGCAGCCTGCGGTGAGGCGACCCCGTCTGATGCAACACCACCTGTGCCCCGGCATGAGCCGGGGCCTCCCGAGCACAGGGAGCAGGGACAGAGGAGCCGGCCGCACACCTGCGGATCTCGTCCTCGCTGTCGTCGACGTGGTGCCTGAGGAGCTGGAGCTCGGGGCCAGAAGACGACAAGATGAAAGCGTCCAGGTAGTAAAACTGTGCGGACCCAACGGGCTTGGAAAACAGGTCCCTGCCCTGGAACAGAAATCGGGAATCACAGCCACCGTGACAGAGGCAGACGACAGACACGCGGAGACGGTTTCCCACCAACCCACACACCCACTCCGGACATAGACACTAGTTCACCCGGGCGTCTTCCTCTGACCACGTCGGAAAGATGTCACGTGACTAAAAATGTTCCTGTAACGACTATTTGAATCCCGGCTACTTAAAAACTTTAAAATAAAACAAAGTTGATACTTGGCAGTGACGTAGTCAGTGCTAGAGTTTACTAAGGACAAATTCTAACCGTGGGACACAGCTCTGAGGCGTCAGAACCTTCAGAACCCCCAGTGTCACGCGTGGGAAACGACAGCATCCACGGCGCCGAAGCAGACCCGTGCCCTTGCAGTTGCTCCCACACACCTCGCGCTAGAGCTCCCGCTCTGACGGCTTCCCCTCCTGCTGGTCTTCCTGGAGGTGAGTCCCCCTTTCCCAGTGAGACCCGTAGGGGGTCCACGGTAACCCCGGCTCTGAGAACCTGCCGCTCGCCAGCCGTGCTCGGACTCGTGGGGACACGGCCCCGGGATCCCCTCCCCTCCCCGTCTCAGCTGGACATCATCACCACTGGCCCTTCTCGCCGCTCCTACAGTCTCCAAATGGTCTCCTCTAAGTGCAGACGCTCACGGGTAACTGTGCACACGTCCAAGTGTACACATGCCCGTGTGTGTGCATGGCGGTCACACGTGTATAACACACACACACACACACACACACACACACACAAATGCTGAGTCAGCGAGCGCAGTGGGTGCACCGCAGCAACCCTCTCACCCCGCATCCCACACTCCAGGAGAGGGTACAGCCTGGGGCCCCGAGACGGCACCAGCGTGCCTCTGGGACCACTGGTCTGGGGACCACAGGGCTGGCCAGTGAAGCCCAGAACGTTACCACACACAACACGTGTTCCGCCCGGCGGAGCGACCACAGCCGCAGCGTCCCGTCCCGGGAAGCAGACAGCAACCACCTGCCGTCCAGGCTCCAGCACACAGTGCTCACCAGCCCGTCGTGACCTAACGGAGGACAGAGACAAGGGGGCTGCTGGGACCACCGCCTGGCAGAGCACAGTCCCACCAGACGTCCAGCAGAGCACAGGGCCGGGGACAGTTCTGAGCTCCGGTGGCACCAGGGACACCGAAGCCCGAGGAGGTGAATTCCACTCCATTTAAAAGCTGAGTAAAAAGTGTATGTTTAAAACGCGCTCAGAGTCACGTGTCTTTAAAATCACATAAGCTGCAGGGGCGCCCGGGGGGGCTCCGTGGGTTAAAGCCTCTGCCTTCGGCTCAGGTCATGATCTCAGGGTCCTGGGGTCGAGCCCCACATCGGGCTCCATGCTCGGCGGGGAGCCTGCTCCACCCCCCCCCGCCTGCCTCTCTGCCTGCCTGTGATCTCTGTCTGTCAATAAATAAATAAAATCTTTAAAAAAAAAAAAAAAAAAAAAAGCATAAGCTGCAGAAACACACAGACGGTAGCATCACAAGATGTTCCAAAATCTGCGGGTTTCCCAGTATCGCGTCTTCAAGGAGCATCATTCCCGTGATGCTGGCGGAGAAGGTCAGCGGACTTGCTGAGCGCGGCCACAGGCGGTCGGATAACTGTAGGGCTGTCGGGGTCTGGGCCCCGGGCCTCGGCGAAGCTCAGCGCTGGGTCGGCCGCCCACAGGCCACCTGCCAGCGACAGGGCGAGGGTCGCGCCCCACAGTGGCCTTGGCATCAGACGGGGGACATGCAGGCGTGAGATGAGAAGGAAGCCCCCTCCACGGGCTCGAGAACTCCCTGGTTACTCGCTTCTCACTCTCGAGACCCCTGGAAAGAAGCTCCGCCATGCCAACTGCGGTCTGTCCTTTGAGCTGTTATGACCCCGTGACCTCTGGCCGCCACCACTGGCCCTGGCCTGGCAGACAGCGAAAGCATGCCTCCGGATGTGACCCCTCCTCCAGTCCATCCAACAGGACGTCAGATCCCTAAGCGCCCGGGGACGGGCCCGTCTCCTTCGGTTCAAGGTCGTATGCGTTGCTGGGGGCTGGGCACCCAACGCGGTCTGTCAACTACCCCCATCGCACACAGGGTCAGTGGGACAGCCTGTCCTTGCAAGTGGGTTCCCTGTCCCCATGGGCCTCAGCTCCATGCTGCCCAGCAGTCCACGCAGTCCTGAGGATGTGGAAGGGAGCACGCAGATGCGCCCCTGTGGGAGCCGGACCCACAACCCCTTCGCCAGCGCCCCACCAGCCCTGCTCCTTCTCACTGGGCACCTGCCTTCGCTCATGCAGGCCAACTCTGCATCCCGCCTCCGTCAGAGGCCACGTGGACAGGTCACTAGCCAGGAGGTGATCTCCCAGGGGTCCCGAGGCTGCTGCCACCTGCTGCTCAGAGAAGCAGAGGTGCCCGCGGAAAGGCAGACACAGGCCACTAGAGACATGAAACTGTGGGCTTTCTGCACCAGAGAGGGGCCAAGAGGACAGGCTGGGGCGCGAGGGCCCCAGCCACGGCACAGCTGGGGACTCTGGACAGCGCTGTGCCACACAGGGCACACGGGACAGGCCCAGCCACCCCAGCGCCACGGCGAAGCCGCCTTACTCTGTGGCCCCTGCGACTGGCTGGGAACTCGCCAGCCTCTGGCTGCAGCAGCCTACGAGTGACCATGCACAGAAGCCAGCGCCCCGCGAGGACAGTCGCGCTGCAGCTGGAGACCCGCAGAAGAGACCAAGCTGCACCAGCCCGGGAGAGCCAGCCCGGGAGAGCCGATGAAGCCCGGACACCTGAGGGCTGTGCGGGACGGAGCCCACAGCGGCCGAGTCCCCGACACAGCTCTGCTGCCCTCTGGCGTCCGTTCTGAGCTTTACCCAGAAGGACGCAGGCCCTGTGGCGCCCACAGCTGCCTGGGCCAGGGCCGCCACGTGGTCACTGTCCCAGGAACAGCACCTGGGAGGTTTCACGGAGGGTCAGTGTGTCTGAGAGCCCACAAGCTCTCGGCCTTTCCTCCACGCCGCAGAGCGCAGCGCGCACCGGCATCACCTCACCGGGCAGCGGCGAGGCCGACGACCCGCACGTCAGAGGGACACGCGCAGTAAAGTCACCACCATTCAGCCGCGTGTAATTCTTGCCAATGAAGCGGTCATCCACGGCGGAGTGGGGACACCCTCGTCCTCCCATCCCTCCCTGCTCACTCGTGTTCCAAGCCCGGGCGCCCACACAAGGTCCACGGAGTTACCAAGGACGGCCGACGTGCTCTCGTCACCGAACTGTAAGGGCGACCCTGCCGGGGCGTGAGCCGGGAGGGCAGGGACGGGGCTGACCGTGAATGAGAACACCGGGAACCCACACGAACTGCTCCCCGCTCCGCCCTGCACACAGCAGCTCTGACCTCAAGGCCTGGCAAAGGGACCCCGGTTCGAGCAGGCCGGCGTGCCCATCAGGGACCCGGGCTGGGCTCATCCTTCCTCCCCTCAGCTCGGCTCCCCTGCTGCACGCCCTGCCTGCCCACCCAGCCACGCCAGCGGCTTCCCGCCTCGGATGGCAGGTGCCCCTGCAGCGTGCACACTGGGGTGACAAACCTCAGGAACTGAAGGAACAGGAACGAGACACATCCGAGTCCTCTCCTTCCCTGGGGCCAGGGCCTTGCCTGAGATGTGTGGCCCCATGCCACGGAGAAGGAACGCAGGACGGCAACAGCAGCCGGAGAACTAACACAGGAAGCAACATGTTCTCACTCAAGCTCGCCCTTTTTTAAGAATTGCTTTTTATGGGACGCCTGGGGGGCTCAGTGGGTTAAAGCCTCTGCCTTCGGCTCAGGTCATGATCCCAGGGTCCTGGGATCGAGCCCCGCATCGGGCTCTCTGCTTGGCAGGGAGCCTGCTTCCTCCTCTCTCTGCCTATCTACTTGTGATCTCTGTCGAATAAATAAATAAAATCTTAAAAAAAAAAAAAAAGGCCTGAGTACAGACGCTCCTAATTTTCCAAATGTGCTTCAGTCATGTCAGAAAGATCAGACTTTGCCCCCACAGAACTTTGGAGAAGCTGTGTTCCCTGCAGCCTGGCCCCCCGGTTCCACCCTTCTGCCCGGCTCAGCAGGGCCCGTGTAGCTCACTGAACCTCCACGCAAGCCTTCCTTCCAGGCCAGTCTGATCTTGGAGAGGAGAGCAACCCATACCCAGACGAGGAGACTCACCGTAATTCACAGTAACCAAACGTAACACACATCATACCTGAAAGAACAGTAGGCGTCCCAGTGAGATCAGCACGGAGGACCAGTGACAAGTGGTTGGCTAAGCCGCAGGCGAGCCACCGTCCATCTCCTGCTTAAACACGGTAAGGGACATCCCTGTAAAATCGGAGCTCCCGGGAGTCACGCTTGCAGCAGGTAAATGCAGAATCTGTAGCTAACCCGATGCTCGTTTTGTCAGGTAGTAAGAGATCCTACAACAGCATGTGCTCAGGGACCAACCACCCTCTGCAGGGCCACCAGGTGGCCTCACCCAGGACGTCCTTTAGAGAGGGGATCTGGGAGTCAGGAGCCGCAGGGCTAGTCAGAGTCAGCACAGGGTTCTGAACCCAGAGAACCCTGACCCCAAGGCACCCTGCCTCCCAGCAACAGTAGAGACACCCAGTGCTCAGCCACGCAGGAATATCCAACCCTACCCCGAACATGGGGCAGAACTAAGCCAGAGGCCCCCACGATTCTGCAGCCTTATTGCCAACCCCTATCACACAGTCACAGGAGCAGAGATAAAACCTCACCTCTTATCTCACACCACGAAGCTACTTCACCGACCACACCACGTATCTTATCTCCCCACATCCCTCAAACACGCTTGGGCTACGTTCACAGAAAAATGCAGGGAACTCAGCATGGTTGGAAGGCGTGAAAACTATAGGACTGCCCTCAAAATGCCGAGGGATGGCCTTCCAGCCACCTGGACTGAGGGCGAATTCTTCTCACGTCGAGGTGAGTCTAGAAACCAGAAGCAGCGTGTGCTTCTGAAGATAGAGCTCAGATCACAGAGTCACCCAGACGGGAGCTGCTCCTCACTTCCTCTCCCGAGGAAGACCAGAGAAGACTCTGGCAGAGGCATTTCAATGCTCTTGAGAGTGACATGGCCGCCAGCAGCCCAAGACGCACTGGGCCCTGCAGGAAAGGCTCCATCTGAGGAGGGATGGCGACCAGAGAGGACATCAAGGTTCACCCGCCCTGAGCGGTCTCCTCCACCCTCCGCAAACCAGTCCCTCACCCTCCTTGCAGCTCCCTCCAGCACTATAGAGGGAGGGTCATACACAGGGCACAAACCCAGGTGAGCCCCTAATTCCAAACGCAGGAGCTCCCGCGCTGTGGTGGCAGCCGGCACGAAGGCCCTAAACACCAGGCCACATAAGGGCAACGTGACCTTTGATTTTCATCCAGACTCCAACAATGCCAGAGAACTTCATGCCACCAGGATTTTTAAAGCTCTATTTACGACGGAACAGTGGCAGTTCAGAGATCCTTGAAAATACATCGGAGGGCAGCCCGGGCACGGCGTACCTGAGTACTGGACGCAGGTGGCGGCAGCGGGCGGCCCGTGCGCGAGGACAAGCTGCTTCTGGACTCTGGTTGGCACAGAAAGCTCCAGAGGGTACTCCTTACTTGAAGAAACAGCAGGACCATGAAGATCAAGAGAGTTCCGAGTGAGATAAGAAACAAAACGAGGGGTTGGAAATGCTGGCCTCTCCCCGTCCACCCGTGCAACTTCATTCTCTCCCACTGAATGCCCGCAAGCACGTGCGAACCCACGACACAGCTCCGCAAAGTGCACTTCCGTCCCAGGGAGCCAAAACGCATGCACTGTAAGGGCAACCGTGAAGGGTTTCTCATGGGTGACGTGCACTGAGGCGACTGGGCAAGGACTCGGCGAGACAGACACTGCCCTTCCCCATTTCCTACTCTCTGTGGGTCATGACAGTGATTGCTCACGTCCTCTGCACACGGCCTGCATCTGCCATGAAAATGACCACATTCCCAGTCTGTGGAAGAGACCACAGATGGCTTGGAGAAAAGGACCGACGGCCAGGACACGCGCTGGGGTGGCCTGGGTGGGGTGGGTCCCACAGGACCGCGGAGCAGGCAGCGCAGCCCACTGAAGACAGTTGGAACTTAAGGCAAAGTCTCCTCAGGGTTCATTTCCAGCAAGTGGTTTGGCAGCCTCTGAGCAGCAGCAAGGCCACGGGCACGGGGGCCAGCCAGGGCACTGGAGGCCAGACTCCTACCTGACACCCCCGTGGCCCCCACCAACCCCTCCACCTCAGTCCAGAGCCACCTGTCACAGTGTTCTATGTGCTTCGGGAGCATGGAAAGGCGCCAGGCGCATGGCAGAGGTTGTTGTCAAAGCTGGAAGTTACTGGAGGCAAGTCACATTTTCACACCTTCGGAGGACGCACGAGCTGGAAAGCCTGACCGTGCGAGCCTGCCCCACAGCCCGGCAGCACCATCCCTCTGGAGTGAAATTCGGTAGGTGTTCAGAGGAGCCATTCCCAGAGGAAACACCAGCCTGTGCCCAGGACGTTGTCTGGCGTCCTCCCCTCACCGAAACCCCTCAGCGGAATGCCCCCCCGGGCCAGAAACGCATCAAAGGCCACTGGTTCCGTCTGGAGAGCTGGGCTCTCGTAGGAAAAAGTCACCAAGAAGATCAGAGTTGAGCATAGCTTTTGGTGCTGTGTTTTGTCCCCAACCACCGGTCTGGGTATCACAGGGTCTGAGGGCACCTGCTGGGGTCACGTCCTTGCCATCGATGCTGAGACAGGAGCAGCAGAGTAGGGCAAGAAGAGCCTCGGGGCACAGGAAACATCATAAAACGGGGTAAAACCAGCATTCTGCCAGTGACCGCCCAAGCACAGATGTGCCAGGGACGAGAGCAAGTGACATTTCAGCCAGCACCACCGCCCGGGATCTCTGTCCGGATGCGGACACCTCCATGTGTGTGACCGGGAGCATCCTGGGGGTCCCCCCACACCTCCCTGTGCAGGCACACAGGGGCCGGGGACCGGCAGGGCTGGCCGAGGTCCCGCAGGTGCAGTGCCCGCTGGACAGGAAGCAAGTCCAGGCCCCCGCGCTCATCTCGGGCCGACAGCCCTGTAAGCGCTCACGGTCTTCCATCCAGTTACTGCCTAACAAACTTATCTAGAAGCGTCCTTCACTGACCACAATGCTTTCTAAAACAGAATTTTAACCGAAATTGAAATTCCTAAGTTGTTAAGCTGGTAAAGAGAGCAGCCTGTCCGAAAAAGGGTTAATAAGGAAGAACCGAATGTGACCACAGGCCACGTACAGCCAAGTAAGAACGCGTCCCCAAACACGGCCTCGGCCGTACTCCTGCCGGAAACAGTCTCCTGAAGTACTCAAAAGGCCTCCCCAGGGGCGCCCGGGTGGCTCAGTTGGTTGAGCGACTGCCTTCGGCTCAGGTCATGATCCCGGACTTCCAGGATCGAGTCCCGCATCGGGCTCCCAGCTCCCTGGGGAGTCTGCTTCTCCCTCTGACCTTCTCCTCTCTCGTGCTCTCTCGCTCACTCTCTCTCAAATACATAAAATTAAAAAAAAAAAAAAACTTTAAAAAAAAAAAAGGCCTCCCCAAATTACGTCACATTTACCTTGGGAAACGAGCTGCGCACCCCCTGTGACCGTCGCTGCGTGGTGAAGAGTGGCCACCCCTGCTCTGGGTGCTCGTCTTTGGCGAGAACGTAGTCGTGCTGTGGAAGGAAACCGGGTTACTCTCGAAGATTACAGTTCAAGCTTCCTAAGAGACCTGTACTTGCAGCAAAGTGTACACACATATGTAAACACACAAATGCTTTCTGCGTCCCACACTAGAAGCACTCGGAACGTTACTTCCATCCTAGCAACTCTCCTTCCGCTCAGACACCTGCGGAAGCGTCCTGGAGACGGTCTCGCTCCAGAGAACGAAGCCACAGACTCACATCAGAAACTGAGCTGCGCCTGTGGACGCTACTTGCAAACCTACTCAGAAGCAGAAGCGACACACTGGGAAGTCATGCTGACCCCCTTAACAAAATCGGATTATCGCACGTTGGCAGTGGCTGAACGGTCGCCTGGTACTGGCCTGTTCCTCAGATGAAGAAACGAGACCCCAGTAATGCCGGGACACAGGGTGCCGAGCCTCAGGGTTGCACGGGGCACAGCCACGGCCCCAGCCCACACCCGCTGCCCGGAGCAAGCAGCACACTCTGCATCGGGCTGTGCCCAGAGCCATCAGGATGGGGGACGCAGGAGAGGCGGCCTGGCCCCGGGCCAGCGCCACAGGCTCTGCATCTGCCGCAGGAGCCGCAGGTCCCCTGGGGCTGAGGAGGGGCCGGGGCACAGACAAGGGAGGACACCAGCCCCAGGAGGATGGGAGAAGAGGGCTCAGGCGTCCTGAACCCTGCGTCCACGTCCCAGCACGAGCGGCCTCTGAGCCATTTACTCACCGCGGTGTGGACGCGTACCCAGACGACCTCACTTTGCTGTGGAAAACCAGGGGCCGGTCCTTAACGGCGCTCCGCACCGCTGTAAGACAAGCGCCAGAGGTAGCAGCCGGTGAACGTGACGAGGACAGAGCGCCTGGAGAAGAGAAAGCGCACACAAGAGGAACGAGGCTATGACCTAAAAACTTCACAGGTTGCATACTTGACACCAAACCCACCACTACCAGCAACGAAGGTTACATCAAGGGCATTAAAAGCGTAAGAAAACAAGAACGTGTTTTTCTCGTTCCTCAAATGATACTAAATCTATGTTCATTATCACACATTCCAAATACTCTGGGCGAACACGTCAGCTCGCGCTGTAACCACACAGGCCCACATCCTCGCCCGGCCTGTGTGAAATTCTGTCCACGGGACGATACAGAGCCACCCTCAGGAACAGTTCGCTCCAGCAATCTGTGGCAAAGCCATTGTTTCTCCAAACAATAATGGCAATGATCATAAGTGAACTCGAATTTCTCATTCATGCTCTTATTTACCATAAGACAGAATAAGAAAAAAAAGCCACTAAAACACAATGGCAATAAAACCTATTATCCTATTTTAACATTAGTCTCCCATAACACTGCAGACCCATAAAAACTCTGACACTGTGTGAACTTACCACAAATACTTATAAATCTTAAAAATTCTCTCAGAGGAGATAAAATTCTGCCAGAATTATTTATTTTTACATACGTTTAATACTTGGTATCCAAAAGGAGCATTCTGTACAAGAGTAGAAAAATAACTTTAGAAAAGTGGATAATTGAATAACATTGAGTCATTTTTAAAATAGTTCTCTTTAAAAAAAAAAAAAAACACAGACTTCGTTCTGTTTCTGGCACTGTTTCAAACCTGACCCCTGGACCGCGTTCCCTTCAGAAGCCGAGCGAAGCCACGCAGCAAACCATTAACAGGACAGGTATGTGACGGGAGGTGGGGACACACTCCGGCTCACACGAGGCAGAGCCCCATCCCCTGGGCGAGAGGCCGGTGCCTCGGGGGACACCTGGAGATAAAACTACACCCTAGGGGTACCCAGAAAACCTCTCCACATCAGTGTTGAGGGAAAGAAAAAGTCTCCACGAAAAGAAAGCCAACAGGAAAGTATTTTCAGGATCAGATAATAAGCTTACAGAGGCGTTAGCATACTTGATCAGGAGAAAGTCTTGGAATTACTAGAAGAAAGCTCATGAATATGTAAATGCATACTATTTTAATAAATGCCCAAAGCATTAAAGTAAAACACTACTTCCACTTTGAGTAACACAAGGACATAGGAATGGATAATTCCTTGAGGAAGCCGCTACTTAAATAAGGAACAGGCAGCAGACTTCCCGACTTCCTGCTGAGCAGTGCTCTGGGCTCCAGACCCAGCGGGAGGGAGGGGGAGCAGAGAGAGCAGGAAGGGTCAGAAGAGTGTGTGGGGGGGTCCGATCCCCAGGGGACCTGGCGGGCAGGGACCTGTGAGGATGGCCTTCGGGGGCTCTGCACGGTCTTTCTCAGGACGACAGTCAAGGATGTCAGAAGGTCTCCCGGAGAAGGGAGGGGACGGCTGACACAGGAGCCCACTTGGGCAGGACAGGATCCCCATAAGTGGAGAGCCTGGGGGTCCGAACAGTGGGGCCCAGCCCGCCCAGCCCTGCCTGGTCCTTGGGCCTCCAGGAGCTGAGTCCCTCACCAGAGACGGAGATAAAAGCAGACTGACTGAGCTATTGCTTAGAGCTACTGTTCTACTGGCTTTTAATTAGGTCAATAGGGGCTTATTAACAAGACTGATGAGGATGCTGGGTCGGTCACTTTAGGAAAAAAACAATCATTATCAATGATTATTACAATGGAAACAAATGGGATGTAATGAAGTCGATCATTTAAAACAGAAGTTAATTTTAAAATCATTTCTTTGTAAAAGGCAACATGTGAATTTGTTTTATGCTTGTAATAAAACAATGAGAAAAATTTGGGAGACAATGGGAAATAATTTATACGGGATGGCTAACGTAAGACACCAGAGAATTAGCCCTGGTTTCCACGTAACAGCACCACGACGAGGTAAGCAAACGTGCACGTGTCTTAGAAGCGCGTGCTGCCGTACACGGGGCCGACAGCATGATGTCTGTGATGGGCTTGAAAATTCTTCAGCCAAGAGGGGCAAGGAAAGATCGCTCCCACGACAAATGAGCAGCCGCAGGTACCACTGCTCTTCTGGCCACAAGAGCCATCAGCGTTTTTAAATGTTTCTGAAGTCCTAAGACTTCTGCCCAATTCGGGAAAAGAAACATCGAGCACATTCCCTACCACAAACGGTAACGTCCGTGTGAGAGGCAGAGAACTGAAGAACACCAGAAGGGAGGAAACCCGGAACTTTCTTGTTGCCCAACATGAATTCACAAAGCAACAGAAAGGTGCCAACACGCGCGGGGCCGGAGAGCACCCCAAGCTTGGTGTGCAGCACCCAAGTACACTACCCGAACCGGACGGCGCCTGCGGAGCCGGCTGCACCCTGTCCTCAGCGGGTCTGAAGCGCAGCGGAGACGTGGACAGAACGTGGGCACTAAGGGAGAAACAGAAACAGCACCAGGAGAGCAAACTCGCACACCGGGCTCGTAGCAAGGACACCTGCATTTCGGGACAGTCACAAGCAGCTAGTAACTCGCGTACATAGGGGCGTGCAAGGTTTGCAACCAATCAATCTTGTCCTTACCCTTCTGAGAAATACATTTTAGTATTTTTAATAAGAGTGGTATTTCCTAATTTCCACTCTATCCTGGATTACAGTAAGATAAACTGGGCATCCTTTAGTCCTACACAAGACAGAAGAGAGCCACGAGCAATCACCTCTTTCACACAGGGTTAGCACACCTGGAGTTCACTAAGCTTTACTTTTCTCTCTTAAGATCAAAAGGGACGGGAACTCTAGGAGCCGCTGCGGGGGCACCCGTGCAGCCTGCGCAGGAAGACCGTACCGAGGCAGCACGGACAGACCCCTTCCCGCGGCGTGCCTCCGCTGCGACGTCACCAGAGCAGCCACGTGGATTTCCAGCAAGGCGATCTTATGGCCAAACAAGGACGTGAGTAAGCAGACGGCCTGCACGGGACAGTCAACACGGAGCACACGTTCGCGACGCCCATCGTGAGCACAGCTGCGATGACGTCAGCAGTCACCGTCCACCGCGCGTGGCCCGTGTGGGTCCTCAACTGTGGCCTAAGAGACCGCGACCTACCAGCCAGCCCCACGGTCCTCCGAGGGCCCGAGCGATCATGCAGCTGAGCCCGGAGACGGGCGTCGGGCAGGACTCACCTTGTCACCGCCTGCTCGGCTCTCCACTGCGCAGGACCCAGTAACCCGAATGCTGAGGCTCCTGAAGTCTTCGTTGCCAGCAAAGAGAAACAGACCAGCAACGCGGGCGGTAAGCAGGGGACCGGCCCCTCGCTGACACAGCTGCGCTCACAGGCCTGTGCTGGGGCTGCTGGGGTGCGAGGAGCAAGGCCCTTATGAGAGCCCTGACCCCCGCCAGCCCCGAGCAGCCAGAGTCACGGGGACACAGGCGCCCACAGAGACCACAGATGCTGCGCACACCGTAGCCACCGGGAGCCAGGAAGAACGCGGTTCCCGAAGCAGGTTCAGGTGAACCTTCCAGGGCGAGCGGAGGAGAGACAGGAGCTCAGGCCAGCAGAGGTTCAGAAGGTTCTAGCAAAGTCCCGAAGGTGAGGAAAGGCACCGGGAGGGGGGATGGGCTGGCCAAAGCTAAGAACTCAGACTCTGTCCCCAAAGCACGAGGGCCTTAAAGAGAAGGGAGGGAGCTTGCGTCCACAGGTGACCTTGGCTGCGGGCACACAGGGAGGGCAGAGGGACAACTCCGCGCATGGTGGTCACAGAACCTGAGGGCCGGAACCAGGGCTGGACAGGAGGGCGCCCGGCTCAGTTCAGACAAGTTGAGTCTGACAAGCTCGTGAGGCCCTCCAGTCACCTGGTCATGGCGTTAAGTCTCCAGGGGAAACACTGATGGTGTGGACTTCAGAATCCTGGGCAGGAGGCTGGGACAGACACGGGAGTGCTGAAGAAAACAAGTGTCCCTCGCAGCCCTGCATGCACCTGGAGGATGGGAGGACTGGGGACCAAGGGCAGGGAGACCCACCAAGAGCTGGGAGCAGACTCGAAGTGTGTCCTTGGGACCCTGTGCACAGAGGCTGCCCGTGGCCGTCTGCACGTGACGGCCACGCATCCTACACCGAGAGGGTCACTCTCCCAGATGCCAGAGAAAAAGAGGAACTGAACTTGATCTTACCCTTGTAATGTAAGGCGGCTTCCAGTTCAAAGCTTGCCAAGCTAAGTAAGAACAGGCCCACGGAGCTTCCGATCCATAAGCACACGGCATTCGCAGAAGAAAGACTAATTTAAAGGAAAAAGAGAAAACGCTGCTCACCTCCCTCCTCAGGCTCCCATCCCCCCACCCCGAGCGGCTGCTGCAGGTGACGGCCCTTGGCCCTCGGACCTCCGCATCCTGCACTCGGCTGGTATCTCAGGTTCCGGGGACACCGCCGTCCCGTGCAGACAAGTACTAAAGAGCCACAGTGGATCCCAACTCAATCACGATGTGCACGGTTTTCCCTTCTCTGAGGCCACGAGACTCTCTGCCCAGGGGGCGTCGCTGCGAGAGGCGCAGCGCAGCGGGTCCTGCCACGCGAGGCAGCAGCAGACGGAAGTCGCAGAGCCCCAGGGAGGGCAAACACAGCCCTGCCTCCTCTTCTAGTTTTCAATGGATAAGCCTCCTCTGGCTGGGCCAGACCTGGGACCCGGAACCACTGTTGGCGCCCTCTCTGCCACCGGCCTCTCAGTCCCCTGGAGCCCCTGACCACCCTGACATCCTGTGTGCGCTCTCGGGCCTTCATGCTCCCACAGCCATCCCCGGGTCGGCCAAACCAGTCCGTGTACATCCAGGGCAGGAAGCCCAGCTGACCCTCAAGGAGCCCTGGCACAGGCTTCCTGCATCGCCTGCGTTGGGGGCAGACCCAGCAGGGCGCCTGTGCACAGACTGGCCCGCAGCACGGCCGGCTCCCCACCTTGTTAAGCCCCACCTTGTCTGGGAAGACAGAGGCTCGTCCCTCCTTGTCCCTAGAGCTCTCGGTACTCCGTAGTGAAAGCCATCGCAGCACATTCTGAAATGTCTGTGGCAGACGGGGGAGGCTCAAAATGACTTAGGACTACGTCCCCCTTTACCTTGTCACGAACAAGGTGTGCCTAGACTCTGGTGAGCAAAATTAATGACAATTTCATTTATTAAACAGACTTAAAAACAACTGCGCAAGTTTACCAGCTTTAAGACTTAGAATATGCAATCCTAAAAACACTTAACGTTATGACTTAAAAAGACAAAAATACTTTGGCTTTATTTTAATCATTCCTAAAAAGTGAACCTCACACTTCAGAGGCTTTCCTCAGGGGCACTAGGGCAGCTCGTCACACTCACCCCCCACACTCGGCAGGGAGGATGACGGACAGATCACACGACGCCAGACTCAGGACCGGGAGGCTTGCTTCGACCTCCTGCGGACTGTCTTCTAGGAACAGAATTGATCACCTGAGTTACGGGATTCAAGCGGTCCACCGAGTGGCAGGCAGACAGCTGGCAGCACGGGATGCTGGAGGAAACACATGTGGGTCAGAACAACTCAGATTGGTTCTCGAGTCAAGGAAAACAGCCACACTTGCACACGACTGAGACTGAGATTATAAACGCCGAGCACACCCCGTATGTGAGGCCTGTCAGGAGGAAAGGGGGCGTTCCAGGCACAGCAGAGTTTAACTCTGTTCCTAAAGCAGGATCACGTCCACCTCCAAATAAACGGCACTTACACAGGAAACGAAAGCCAAGACTGAACGCATCAGGAAGAAAACAGATACGGTGCATAAAGGTAACCTCTGACCTTCTTTCAAGAGAAATTGCTTAAAGCCACACACACACACACACACAAAGAACTAAACCGAAAGGAAGAACGGTGATGAGAAGGCTGAGGGCAGCAGGGAAAAGACGCCTTTGCTGGAAGGTGAAGCATGACAGCGCAGCCCAGGGAGGGAAGACCCCCAACGCCTCCCCATCCTCCCGTGACGGTGACACTGCGCAGGCAGCCGACAAATGGCGGGGGAGAAAGGCGTGGCCATGTGGAAGCAACCGTGGGCAGAGGGAGGGGACTCCTGCAGAAATGGGGGATGGCCCTGGTGGGCCGGGGGACCTCGGCACAGGACAACCACCAGAAGGTGGGAAGAGGCTGCCTGGGTCGGGGGGGGGACACGTGCTCCCCTCATCAGCGGACCTCACCCCTGCGCGCAGGAAGTGCCGTGCTGTCCCTGGTGCTGGGGCATGTCTGAGGTCAGACGCTAGACTTCGCCCACTAAGAACTGTCCCTGCACGGTGCTCCCTTCAAACCGCCTAACGGGCAGGCTGCACAGGGTCCCCGTGGGGGGTTCCCGTGGGAGAGTCTCAGTGACATTACCTGGCAGGCTGCACAGCCTGGACTCAATCCTCCTGGAGAAACTCTCTCTCTTCTTCTTCAGGTCCACTCGTGTCACGCAACGGTAATGATGTCCTTCAGCCAGACTAAAGATCCAAAGCTGGAAAAGCCAAAGAGGCAGAGACCGCAGGTCCGCCATCACAGGGCACCGGTGAACACGCGGGCCAGCCCCCGGACAAGGGTGGGTGTGGAGCCAGAGACGAGCGCCACGCAGCCAGAGAGCCTGCTGGACCCCTCCTCTGCCAGTCTGACCCCTCCCTTCCCCTTCCCAGCCCCGCACATCCGTTCTGCAGACGTTGAGTTTGTAAACCACAGCCCAGGAGGGCGTGCACTCTGATCCCCACTGGTCCAGGCCAGTCTCTCAGAACCCAACACCAGGAACACAGCCACAAGTCCGGTGGGCACGTCACTGGCAAAAACGCATAGGAATAGCAGTCCACTTTGTCAAAAGGAAAAATAAAACGTCTCAGTTTCCAAAAATACTTCTGTGATATTGTGATTTAGAACAAGAAACACACGTTTTTGGACTTCCTGTTTCCAGCACAGACCTCTTAAAACCCTAAGAACTTCCCAAGCATTGAGTGACAAAGGTATTTTTTGTTGAGAAGACCCGAAGGGTGGGGGCAGGCTGCCAGGAGAATGAATCCCGAGATTAGAGGCTGGTACCTTTCAGCCCCACCCTGGGGAGGGGTGAGGGCTGGAGGATGGGTTCCGTCACCAATGGCCACCGGTTTCATGAATCAGGCCTGCATACTGAGGCCTCCGGGGAATCCCAGCTTCCAGGTCGGTGAGCACGCCCCTGCACAGTCCACGCCGGAGGGTGGCCCTCCCCAACCTCACCCTGTGCACCTCCGTCTGGGGCTCGTCTCCATCCTCTGCCGCCTCCTTTACCAGACCGGTCAGCGGTGGGAGGCCGGGTGCTCAGTGGCTGAGGCGTCCCTCTTGGTTTCAGCGCAGGTCGGGGTCTCAGGGTCCCAGGACCGAACCGTTGTCTGGCTCCTTGCTCTGCTGGGTGGGGAGTCGCCGAGGTTCTCTCTCCCGCTGCCTCTGCCCTCCCGCCCCACCGTGCTCTCCAATCCACACCGAAGTCTTCGCGCACGGGGCTGCTGCGCCAGCAAGAGGCGTCCCCTGGGGTCCGCAGGTCGCTCCGGCAGGTCCGTGGAACCGAGCAGGGGCTGCAGGCCTGTCCCGAAGCGGCCAGGTCACGTGGAGCCTGAGGCCGCACCGCCGTGGGCGGCGTGTGAAGGGGCGCGTCTCCCGGGGCTCCAGGCAGACGGCGTCACAACTGGCCGACATTGCGGGACACCCGGCCGGCATGTGGGGCGCGACCCGTGCACAGGGACAAAAAGCTGGCTCTGTGCCGGCCGCGTGTGGGCACATGTAAGTGCGAGCCCCGCCGCGACCCCAGACCCACGGTCCCTCCCAGCAGGAGCAGCACAGGGGAGCGAGCACAGACCTCTCGGCGGTCACCACGGCGTCTGGCCACGGCGCTGGAGGTCCTGCTTCCCTCACCTGGCCACACGCACATCCTGTCACCAGCTGTCGGCTCCCCGCATGGATGAGGAGACTCAGGAGAGGGGAGGCTGCGAACGGGACACACGACACGTATCTGCAAAACGCCCACTGAAGTATGAGTTTTACTTCCACTCTGTCGGCAGTCTCAACGCTCCTGAAGGGACTCCCGCAGCAGGAAGCAGAAACCCTAAGAGCACACACGTTCGAGAAGGTGCGTACGTGGGGAGGGAGTGAAGCCGCCCCACACACCGCCACGGCAGCTCCCCGCGGAGGCCCTACTGGCACAGGCCATCCCCGCGGCTCGGCACCCCCAGGCCCGGGAGCGCCATCACCCACGCTGCCCCCAAGAGCCATGAGACTTGCAACAGAAGGAACATGTTTATGGCATCAGTCAGGAAAACAGCAATTAAGTGACGCTGACTGCTTGAACCGCTGCCTCGCAGGCCATTTAAGTCATTCCGAATCTACACTGTCAAGAATTCAGGAGGAAAACTGGGGCGCCTGGGGGGCTCAGTGGGTTAAGCCTCGCCTTCGGCTCAGGTCATGATCCCAGGGTCCTGGGATCGAGCCCTGCATCGGGGAGGGCGGGGTTCCCTGCTCAGCGGGGAGCCTGCTTCCCCCTCCCTCTCTGCCTGCTTGTGATCATCTCTATCAAATAAATAAATAAAATCTTTAAAAAAAGAAAAAGAAAAGAATTCAGGAGGAAAATTAAGACAAATGGACATTTAAAAACATGTCCTAAGTAAACAATGACATCAAACTCGAGTTAGTAACTATTTTCTTGACAGTCCAATAATAATTCCACAAGTTAATTTCAGGAAAATAAAGCCAACGGAATTCCAAGAAATGTGTTTTGTCCCTGAGACTGACAATGTATCCCAGCTGATAAAGCTTCCTCCTCCATGCACGGCTGTGATGCCGGGAAGGACACGGGGTCTCTGGGAAGGCCCTGGGTAACAAGGCCTGGCCCGTGTGCTAAGCTGCATTTTTGTGTGACTCATCCCGAGAAAGGGGCTCCTCGGGCAGCAGGACGAGCGCCGGGAGCACGGGAACACCAGCCAGGACATGTGTGAAGACCTAGTGGCCTATACTGGGGGACTCACCACCAGACAGACTGAGGGCTCAGGGCCGGACAGAACTTCCCACCTGCGCACAGCCTCCGCCCCGCGAGGCAGACGCACCCTGGCCGGCCTGGCCGCCCCGCTTCCCGGGGACAGCAGAGGCAAGCTGCACGCCTCCCCCACCCACCAGTGCGCCTCTCAGTCTGCAAGCATACGCTTACTTTTAAGTTAAAAACGTCAAGAAATACACCTGTTCAGTGAATCCTTACAAGGTGTAGATGGGAGGGAAACTCTCAGACCCCCTTGAGTGGGACACCTCCAGCTTATAAACATGCGCGGAAATAACGACTCCACGAAGCCCACCGGCAAAACAGACACACGAGTTTTAAGGCACCTGTCAGCACTGAGGAGTTGTAGATCAGTGATCCCATGTGATGATCCCAAACCTTCGGAAAGACACACATTTCTTCAGAAGATACGCATAAATTTTGTTTTGACCCACATTGCTGATGTAGCTTGAACTGATACGTCTACTCGGCTACAGATTAATCTGTGTGAGCGGTTACCTGAAGGAGAAGATCATAAAATAGATATATAAATAATAAAACTGTAGAAACACCATAAAAGATTTCAGAATCATGTGGAAAAAAGCGAACATTTCCAGAAGTAAGCATCTGTGGGTCTGGAAGACCCAAGACAGGGCTGCAGACATCGCCAGCACCCAGAGAGAGGGGCCGGCCAGAGTCTCCGCCGTCCGACTGTCAGGTGCCTGCCCGGGAGAGGGGGGCCGGCCATGCTCCCTGCCGTCTGTAAGGTGCCAGTGCATGTTTTTGGACCCACTTTAGTGATTTCCAAACTCAGCTCCCGTTCTCAAAAACCCCATGAAACGATGGGCACCCTAACATCCATCTAGGCACAGCCCAGGTGTTTGTGGCAGCTGGAGGGGTTGGGGAGGGCCCAACAGGGAAGCAGCACCCGCGGGCCAGATGACCGAGGAGTTTCCGTCTCTCTCCTCCCCCACCCTGCCGGTGTAAACCACTCACACCTCTTCTTCCAATTACGCTGTACACGTCCTCACTGGGTCAGCAGCATAATAACCCTAAGCACTAGATGGCTGGGAGCTGGGGGAGAACAGAGCTGGCGTCTTAAATTATTTTCTTCTTCAGCTCGATTTAGTTCTGATTGAAGCCTCTGATTTTGGAAAATGGCTTTTTTGCTCTGGGCCCCCGGGGAAATACTGTGGAGTATATTAATGTTCTAACTCCCCCGGGCCCTGGATTTGAAGGGGAAGGTCCCACAGCTGATCCAAGCCCCTCTGGGAATGCTGGGACACGCCCAGCTGACACCTCGGGCCAAGTTCAGGACAGAAGTGTGGCGGAAGTAAAATCACAGGTGTGCGGTGGCAGCGGACAAAGCACTCCAGTATCCACGGCCTGACCTTAAAGCTCCTGTCTTCAGACACTGAGACGACGATACGTGTTTGCCACGGACAGAACTCGGCTGCGGTCACAGCGCCCCGGTGACCCTCCAGCTCGGCTAGCGTAGACTGGCTCTGGCAGGATTTGTGAAGAAGATCAGTAACTGAATGTTCTGGCAATTGTGGTTATTAACAAGTTATGCACATCTCACAGAAAACAGTTTCTGTTAAGCTCTACTTCGCGTAACTCCCCTTTCCAAACGTGAAGCTACTTGTAGATAAACCGAGAAGTGAAAATTCAGACGGCTGAGCTGAGGGGGCACAGGCTGCCCCTTACGCCTCTTATCACCAGACAACTAAAAATAAAAGGGGGGGGGTCATAATGTGCATCAGAATACGGATACTTCCCAGGTTGGATGTTAGGAAATGTGCATTCCAATGTCTACAGTATGAAATAGTCCTTGTCTATGGTAACATCGTATCCCAGAAAATACCGGTTTCCCTTCAGTACTTATGGTCATGTGTGACATCAGTGTACGTGCTCTGCGATCAGTTGACGTCTCTCAAAGCAAAGTTCTTAAGCTGGTCACTAAGGGCCGCACAGTCTGGAACAGGCACCTGCCCCTAGCTCTCCGTCCGCGTGGTCGAGGCCTGACTCAGGCTCCTCACCTTCTCTTTCCAGGACAGCTCAGCTTCCTTCCCACCCTGACATGCTTGCTGTACCCCCAGCTCGTCTGTGTTCCTTCTCCCAACACGAGGCTGGTGAGCTTTGCTACATGTGGCAGGTGCCTTAATGGAATCACTGAACCCTATGACGTGTCCCATCAGCTGCGACTTCACTTACAATGTGAGCACTGTGTCACACGTGAGCCTCAGTTGCACAATTTAGCCGAGAATCACATGAACACAGAAAGGCACACTCTGTGCCCCAAACTGCCTAGCACACAGTAAGCCCACCATCAGTTAAGCCCCAATTAAGATTTTATGCCTAATATCTTCCCTAACCGAGATTTTTTTTAAGTAGATAGAGCAGAAACTCAACTGCATTCACTTGGCAAACCGAAGCCAAGGCCAGGCCTTGGGTTCTGTCTCCGGAGCGGGTCTCAAGCACAGGGTGCACTCTGAGCAAACAGGAGGTCGCCCTCACGCCCTCCCCCTGCTCTCTCACGCCCGCCCGGCAGAGCCCAACGGGCTCCCGTTTGCTAGTCAGATGCGAGACGTAGAAGTCGCGGAGCCTGGAAGAGGAGACACACTTCCCTAAACCAACCGGTAAGAGAAACGTGAGGGAAGTCCAGCTCTGGACAGGAAGCGAGCTTTGAGAAAAGCAATGAACAAAGCACTGAGCTGGGAGGGCCTGGACAATCACCGAAGGAGGAGAAATCAGAGCAGTGAATGTTCGCCCGAACACGCCTGCTAAGCGTGCCGATGGCCTGACCTCAAGGACCAGCGTCACGACGGACACAACAGCCGTAGGGGGTCCGGGCGACTCTCTGAGGGCAGGGTCCGGACACCTTCCCCCACCGCCGGAAGCAGTACCGCTGCTGAGAGGGGGCGGCCGTGCTCACCCACACGCGGCAGGTGCCAAACCTTACCTCGGTATCCAGCACAAATATCTTCTTTCCAGCGCACACAGCAGCCGCACGGTCGTCCGGGCTCAACCGCAAACACAGCACCTTTCCCAGCAGGGTGCCCACGACCAGCCCCCGAGGAGTCCGCCCTAGACGGAGGTTCAGCGATAGTGGCAGGTTACCGGGAGGCCACAGGGAGGCGCTGACAATGTGGCTCTCTCCCCTAACATCGCACGCAGAGTGACCACGAGCTTGGGTGTGACTTCGGCTCCTTGACAGTATTAAAAACGTCAAGTGTAAACAGTTCTGGAAATTTGTGGGACGCAGGGATCAACCGTCAGAAAATGACTCCACGTCGTCACAGATAATGGGTCTCTGGGAAGGCTGCGTGTGCACAGACGCGAGGGTCATAGAGAATCACACGTGGTCCCAACCCTCCCTCCTCTGTGACCACACCAGCTCCCGGCTCAGTCGTGTGAGCTGCTCATGTCCGTGTCAGACAGGCGGAAGGCACCGGGTGCCCACCTGAGCCTCCGGGGCCTCTCTACCCCCAGGAGGATGCCTCCAGGCACGCCTGCAGGCCTGAGGTGACAACACGTGCCGACCCGCAGCCTCACACAGCGTCCCTCAACCAACGCGCCACCACGCAGCAGGACTCAGCACCACTGTGGGGGGGCCCTGTCCAGCAGGTCACGTCACAGTGAGCCCGCGGACTACAGAAGGGAAGATGTGCACACGTCACTGGAGTTCTATCTTGGCTAAAATCCCATGGTCTCGTTCCATGAGTGTCCAACAGGCACCTGTGCTACCCCAGGCATCTCCCTCGGCACCTGGGACAGATCGGTGAACACGGAGACAAAGTCCTGTCTTTGTGGAAAGCTTACCCGGGGTTAGGGGGTGGGGACATGTAGACACCAATAAACAAAATTAGTAAACAAGCAACGTACAACGATAGAAGGAAGTGAATGCCGTCAGAAAAAGCAAAGCGCACAAAGGGACTGGGGTCCAGGGCAGTGGTCAGAAGGGCCCACGGCAATAGAGACACTTGAGTAGATCCTAAAGGACGTGGCAGAATCCACCGTGATCCTGAGATGGAGCAGCGGGTGCAAAGGCCCAGGGGCAGGACTAAGTGTGGGCTGTTCCTTGAGACTGGGGTTTTGGCTGGGGGTCCCATAGCTCTGTCAGTCCCTAGTCTGCCTGAGGTGGGAAGGCACTGGAAGGCTTGGGCAGAAGTGTAGCGTGCTCAAGACTCCAGTCTTCCAGGGACCCCTGACTGCTGAGCGGAGAGCAGAGCCCTGGGCAAGGTGAGCAGGAGGACCGGACACGATAACCCGCTGAGTGACCGCTGCGGCCAGACTGCGGGGCAGCAGTGGACAGGGTGAGAAGTGTGCAGGTTTGGTTACAGTCTGAACGTAAAGCAGACAGAACTTGGGGTCGGTCAGACGTGGAGGTGTGCAGGGAGGAAGCACAGTGCCACAGTCTGTGACCTGAGCTGCCGCGGGGAAGCGGGTGGCAGGTGGGGGGAAGGCGATCGGGACAGGCAAGCGGCAATGCTGTCAGACGTCCGCGTGCAGGGGTCCAGGCGCAGTTCACATGGAAGACCACGGGCAGGGGGGAGGACTCGGTGAGAGCAGAGGGGGCAGCTGTCAGAGCCTGCTGTCATCACTAAAGGAGTAATTTTTGATGGGAAAGAGGAAGAGCCCATATTCTGATGTGAAGAGGTGGGAGAATGACACAGCCAGCAAAGGAGACTGGGGACAAGTGACCAATGACAGCCCCAGGACACAACGTCCTTTCTAGTCCAAGTTCAAACACAATCATGTTGGACACGAAGGTGCTATAATCCAACACACCTGCCCACACCCAGCACAGGCCTGGAAACCAAGCCTGGTGGGGCTGCATACTGCCCAGGAGCCTCCCTGGAGGAGGAAGGGGCAGCTCACCCCACCCAGCCCCACTGCTGCAGCTCTGGGACGCAGGAGCAGCTGCCTCCCACTGCACCGACGGAAGCGCCAGGCTGGGCTCAGGGACGGCTTGCACCCCCGTCCACGGACCAGACCACCTGCACCCAAGGGCACGTGAGTTCCAAAGAGCCCAGCCCATTCCCACATGGAAGGGCACTTGCGTACAAAGACCTCCGCGGGAGCAGATAATGAACTCGTGCTTCGCTGTACATACGGACACGTGTACCGATGTTCACGGGTGTGCCTGCGCTGTACGCACACGGACATGCTTCTGAATCGTGCGTCCTTGCGTGCATGTGTGTGCACTTACTGTATGCATGTGTGTGGCATACGTGTGCCCGTGTGTCCTATACACACACAAGAGTGAGTTACTACATGTATACATTGCTAGATGCATTTACAGGTGTGCCGTATGTTTACTACACTTGTGTGTGCACATGTGTATGTACGTGTGCAGTGCGTGTGTGCTCTGCACTGTGTACGTGTGTGTGTGTGTGCTGGGTGTGCATGTGTGTTGCTGTGCATGTGTGCTTGTGTGTGGCATGCACATGTGCGTGTGTGGCTATGCACGTGTGTGTGCAGCTGTGCACATGTGCCTGTGCACTGGTGTGTGTGGCGGCTGTGCACATGGTACGTGTGTGGCTGTGCGATATGCTTGTGTGTGGCTTGCACACGTGTGTGCAGCGATGCATGTGTGTGCGGCTGTGCACATGTGTCTGTGCTAACACACTGACACGGGGCACTCAACTGCCAAGTACCCGAGATGAGGCATCAACTATTCCGTATGCTGCTGCCTCAGACCCCCCACACTCGCCTTCTGGAGCGATCCTGGGAGTTCTCTGTGTGCTCCGTGACCTAAAGCTCAAACCCGCCACACGGTCCTTGCCTCACTTCTCACCTCACCTGACAACACTCTCCGACACCCCCGTGCTGCTACCACGGGGCCCCTCCTCGGCTTGGCCTGCAGGTAGAGCTCTCGGGACAGAGGGCCCGAGCGCACGCCCGGCATGGTGCCCCTGCCTGGTGCCAGCCCTGCCATCTGGCTCCCCTCCCTCCTCCGGCGCAGAAGCCGCCTCCCCAGAGACGGCAGCATGTGAGGGCGTCTGGCCACGTCCTCTGCCCCCTCACCTGCCCCCTCTGCTGTGCTCCCCATAACTCATAACCACTCGCCTGCCCGTCTGATACAGGTCTGCCTCTCCTCACTGCCTGGAAGGAGAGAATATTTCCCCTTGCCTGCGTGCTTTCAGAGTTCCACAAAAACCACAGGTTTCAAAATAACAAAACACGTAAGCCTAAACCATGAGCCTATCGTGTCAGCTTCACACACAGCCCGGGTCCGAGATCCGAACGTCTGACGCGCTTTCCGCACAGGACACCCACCTCGGACACCTGGCTGGTCTCCGGGTCGGAGGAGTGAAAATTCCCCCAAGCCCCGTTATGAAACCAAGTCTGCTGAAGGATGAGTTATTCCCTTTGTACATTTTCAAAATATATTTTCAGTGTTCATCTACCTTGAAGTGCCTCCTGTCGGCACTCATCTAGTCTCCACGTTATGACGTGATCTCGCGAGGCAGAACAGAGGAGAAGCGGACTCGCTGCGTTTCCAAACGCCACGGCAGTAACCGGCTCGTGGTGGCCTCCGAGGGTCAGAGGCTGCAGGAGGGAACAGACACGAAACTCTCAGGAACTACACACGACAACTAAAGAACAAAAGCATAGCAGCATGATCTCAGACCTAATAAATCTAACGGGTTGAGTTTCTCAAATACACTTAGTTCACGCATCCATTGATTAAAACTCCTGTTACTGTCCTACTCAGCCACTGCCTCCGGTGAGCCCCTCACGCCAACGAAACACTGACAGTGCTCCGGTAAAACACGAGTAAGACGGCACAGGTCACCTCGCTCTTCCACCTCCTTGAGAGTCGCTAATTAGGCGAATGCTGACCCCACCCCTGCCAGCCGCCCGAGAAGGAAGGCTGCGCCGGACAGCAAAGGACACAGCGATGACGACAAACCCCCAAGAGGAAGGCAGTGCTCGGGCTGCTGGCCGACAGGGCGCATGTCAGCGGGTGCTGGGACAAGCGCGGGACAGCGCGGTGCCACAGAAGGGCCGGGCGCTGTGTGCGGGCTGCCACCAGCACAGCGGGCAACGGGAAGCCGGCAGCGACGGTCCAAGCAGAAGCAGGAGACGAGCAAACTCGTCTTCGGACAAGCAAACTTGCAACACTGCTGCAAGTACGGAAGAGGGACCGCAGCGGGGACCGTGGGACCAAACGGGCCGAGCAAGCACAGTAAAGGCCTGAACCAGGCTGGCAGGGGCGGAGACGGGAGGAGACAGAGAACCAGGGAACCGAAGACTCGGACGCGCGGGCACCGAGGGCCGGGGGAGGGGCGGAAGCAAGGATAATCCGCGCCCCAGGCGGAAACCCTGGGGGAATGCGGCATAAGCAGGGGAGCAGACCCAGGAGAGAACACAGGTCATCAGCGCGGAGTTACGTAGGGACTTCTAAGCTGAAGGTCAGCAGACAGCAGGCACTTGGATATGGAGCCGTCGAGCTCCATCTCTGGTCACGGCGGCCAGTTTGTCTGTGCCAAGCTCCTGATGAGAACAAGAAGGTGCGGGAAATTGCCAAGAACATACAGACACACTTTAAGACATGAGAGAACAATGAACGCAACAAAGAGTTAAGAACAGAGAAGAAGGAAACAGAGGAGGGACCCAACATGGGAGGCCATTCACTCAGGACTTCTGTCGAACGGCAGATTTCTGACAATCCCGGTAAAGGCAGTTGAAACCTGAGACACTTACTCAAGTAGGAGCCCCAAAATGGTGTAATTAAATGCATCCTTTTCAGGCACAAACAGAACTATCTTATTGGGAAAAGGGCAAAGAATTCCACAGCCGGACAAAGGACTTCAGAGAACAGGGCTGGCGGCCTTCGGGTTGAGGCCTCCACGCGTTGCTTTTCCTTTAAAACACTATAAATGGATTTTAATAAATTTCCCCTTAAAAAAAAGTATACCACCTACTAAGGTAGGAGAGAAGGGCATGTTTTCAAATGCCCAGGCCTAGAGCAGTGACCCGAAAGGCCAGGCCCCAGGAAGGAAAGTGAACGGGCAACAGAAGATGCTCAAAGGCCCACCTTCGAGTTCTCACAGTCCAACTGGATTAGTGACCTGGGACTGCCAGTGCCCGCAGCCAGCCAGCTACGAGAAGCAAGCGTAAATTCTCTCTGAAAGAAGCTCGGCTCACCCAGAGCCCCAACTAGCTGTGCATTTTATCAGACATAACGTCCAGCAGTCAATCAAAAATAATCAGGTATTCAGGAGTCAAAAACCAAGACAAATATTAACCGTGGAAAACACCCTCCCATGGGCCATCCAGACCCAGCAGGCCTTGAAACCAAACCAGAACTGATCCAGGCTACAGAATTGCTAGACAAGGACATTAAAGCAATCATTATACTTCTATTCCATATGTTCAAAAAGTTAAATGGAAGCATAAAAAAATCAATAATTAATAATCTTCTAAAACAAAAAGCACCAGATCAAGACGGATCCACTGGTGAATTCTACCCAATACTTAAGGAAGAGATTTTACTAATTCTCCACAATCTCTTTCAGAAAACTGAAGAAGGAGAATGAAGGGAAACATTATTTTCAAAAGAAGCAGAGAAAATATTTCCTTACTCATCTTATGAGGCCAGGATTACCCTAATACCAAAACCAGACAAAGACATCTCAAGAAAAGAAAATTAAAAACCATATCTCGGGGCACCTGGGTGGCTCAGTGGTTAAGCCTCTGCCTTCGGTTCAGGTCATGATCTCAGGGTCCTGGGATCGAGCCCCACGGCGGGCTCTCTGCTCAGCGGGGAGCCTGCTTCCTCCTCTGTCTCTGCCTGCCTTTCTACCGGCTTGTGATCTCTCTGTCACATGAAAATAACAAAAAATGTTGAGGTGCCTGGGTGGCTCAGTCAGGGAAGCATCCAGCTCTTGATTTTGGTTCAGGTCATGATCTCAGGGTCATGAGACTGAGCCCTGTGTCAGGCTCCAGCTGGGCCGGGAGCCTGTTTAAGACTCTCTCCCTCCCTCTCTCTCTGCCCCCACATTCACACGTGCTCGCACTCTAACAAGTAAACGAACGAACAAATGAATAGAAGTTGTAGCTGCTTCACAGTACAGTTCATGCAAGAAATGTGGGAAAAAAGCATTTAACAAAAGCCAACAGCAATTCATGATAAAAACTACCCATACATATACTAGGAATGAGGGGAACTTCCTCAACCTTCCAAGAGTATCTACAAAATACCCGAAGCTAATATGTAAACAGGTGAGAAACTACAAACTATCCTGCCAAGATTAGGAACAAGGCAAGGACGTCCCGTCTCACCGCTCCTCTCCAACATTATACTGGGAATCTGAGCTCATATACTAACACAACAAAAAGAAATAGAAAGTATAGTGATGGAGAAGAAAGAAACAAAACTATCTTTATTCATGGATGACATGATCATCTATATAGAAAATCCAAAAAAAATCAGCAAGACACTCCGGACACTCACCACTTACAGCAAGGCTGCAGGATACAAAGTCAATATACAAAATTCCGCTGCTTTCCTATGTGTCAGCAATAAATAAGTAGACTTCAAAATTAAAAACACAATACCATTTACATGAGCACTCCAACAAATGAAATGCTAACAAATCTAACAAAGTTGTGTAAGATCTCTGGGTGCCTGGAGAGCTCAGTTGGTTCAGCACCCAACTCAGTCTTGGCTCAGGTCATGACCTCAGGGCCATGAGACTAAGCCTCAGGCTGGGCTCCATGCTGGGCATGGAACCAGCTTAAGATCCTCTCTCCCCTCTCCCTCTGCCTCCCCTCCTACCCACAGGTGCTCACTTTCTCTATTAAAAAAAAAAATTACAGGGCACCTGGGTGGCTCTGTTGGTGAAGCGTCTGCCTTCAGCTCAAATCATGAACCCAGGGTCCTGCGATCAAGTCCTGCACTGGGCTCCTTGCTTAGAGGGGAGCCTGCTTCTCCCTCTGCCCCTCCCTCTGCTTGTACTGTCTCTCACTCTCCATTTCTCAAATAAATAAATAAGATATTTTTTAAAAATTATATAAGATCTCTATGAGGAAAAATAAAACTGTTGAAAGAAATTTTAAAAGCTAAATGAATGGAGAACTATCCCATGCTCATGGATAGAAAGCCTCAATATTGTCAAGATGTCAGTTCTTCCCAACTTGATCTATAGATTTAATCTAAGTCAAATCAAAATCAACAAACTGTTTTACCATTTAAATTCCCACTGGCAGTGTATGAGATCCAGCTCCTCCTCATCCTTGCCAGCATGTGGTATAGTCAACTTTTAAATGCTAACTATACTGATAGGTGTATATTATTTGCTTATTTTGCTGTAATTCGCATTTCTGTAATGACATGATGTTGAATATCTTTTCGTGCTTATTTGACATTTGCATATGCTCTTTAGTTATATATCCTCAAATCTTTTGCTCATTTTAAATTGGGGTATTTGTTTTATTATTAAGCTAAAAAAGTTTTTTTTAATTTCTTTTCAGTGTAACAGAATTAATTGTTTATGCACCACACCCAGTGCTCCGTGCAGTCCGTGCCTCCATAATACCCACCACCAGGTTCCCCCAACCTCCCACCCCCCGCCCCTTCATAACCCTCAGATTGTTTTTCAGAGTCCACAGTCTCTCATGGTTCACCTCCCCTTGCAATTTCCCTCAACTCCCTTCTCCTCTCCATCTCCCCATGTCCTCCATGTAATTCCTTATGCTCCACAAATAAGTGAAACCATATGATAATTGACTCTCTGCTTGACTTTTATATATATATACACATATATACATAATTTATATATGTAAATTAAATAACTAAACTTTAAATTTAAATAAAAATTAAATTTTTATTTTTTAAAAAATAAATGTTTGGTAGAATTACCCTGTGAAGCCATCTGGTCCTGGACTTTTGTTTGCTGGTAGTTTTTTTGATTACTGATTCAATTTATTTGCTGGTTATCAGTCTGTTTTTCTATTTCTTCCTTTTTCAGTTTTGGTAGTTTATGTGTCTCCAGTAGAAAGTTGGTACAATCATAGTGCTCATTTAATTTGTATCTCTTTTGTTGGGGATAACAGTCCCTGTTTAAACTTGTTATTCCATCATGGCTCCAAAGGAAGTCCTTATTTTTTGCTCCTGGTGATGGTATGGGGAATGAGCATTCTCATACATTAATGATGAGAATGTAAACTGACTATTTCAAAATTTGGCATAATCTTAAAAATCTAAAATGTACAGACAATTTGACGTATCTAATCTGTAGGAATGTATTCTGTAGAAATAAAAACACAAATGTGCAAGAATAAGCATATAAGGACATTCACTGCAGCGGTTTGCAGCAACAGAGAAATAACCTGAACACTCAGTTTGGGGGGAACAGGAAGGCTGTATCATGGCATTGCTGTCACTATGTCCGTGTTTTGTTCTGTAGGCATTTTAAGTCAGAAAAGCAAGCATATAAGAGACATACCAACAAAATGCAATGCGCAGATGTCTTTTAAATCCTGACTCGAATAAACCAACTATAATCATTAATATCTGAAAAATTACTAGATATTAAGCCCTTACCTGTTCAAGATACATACTGAAATATGTAGGGGGAAAAGCTAAAATATACTGACTTGGCTTTAAAATATCCCAGTCAAAAACATTTGGAAGATTAACAAGAAAGGTAAAATAGGAATGACTATTAAAAATATGTAATACTGTATGTTATCTATACTGGAGTTAAAATTAAAAAACAAAAACGTGTGACAGGTACATGGCATTCATTTTACTATCTTATTTTTGTGATGTTTGAAATGTTCTACAATAAAAAGACAAAACAAAACAAAAGAAGTTACAGTGGATAGTTAACCCATTAAAACATAACTATTTTTTAGACTCAAATGTGGACCATATTTGAGTACAGAAGGAAACATCACAAGATAAAAACCAAAGTTCTGACAGAAGATGGGTGGGAGATACTGAATGTGATTCCTTTTAATTTGCACTATTCCTTTGGTATGGGGTAAACTTTGTTATGGAACTTTGTAAGACGAATGTAATGACCTTTAAGAATTATATGCATGTAGGGGAAATAAAGCTTAATTTTGGGAAAAAAAAAAATCAACAAACTGATTTTAAAGTTTATACAGAGGCAAAAGACCCAGAATGGCCACATAATACTGAAGAACAACAATCAAGTTGGAAGACTGACACTACCCACCTTCAAGACTTACTATGAGTCACACTAATCGAAACTGTATGGTACTGGCAAAAGAAAGGACAAACAGATCAATGGGAAGGAAGAGAGTCAGAAACACAGTCAAATGAACTGTGACTAAGGAACAAAGGTGACACAATGGAGAAAACTTTAAACTCCTTAAAAATAACATGGGAGGAGGTGCTTGGGTGGCTCAGTTGTTAACTGTCTGCCTTCGGCTCAGGTCATGATCTCAGGGTCCTGGGATCGAGCCCCGCGTCGGGCTCTCTGCTCAGCGGGGAGCCTGCTTCCTCCTCTCTCTCTGCCTGCCTCTCTGCCTGCTTGTGATCTCTGTCAAATAAATAAATAAAATCTTTAAAAAAAAAATAAAAAAAATAAACCTACAAAAACTGAACTTGCCTCGGTTACATTCACATGAACGCTTCTGGTGTCTATTACCGAAGAACTTTCTTTAACGAGGTGATTCCAGGCAGTTTACTTTCTGGAACGCCACCACTGGCACAGTGTTTGCATTTCTCCTGCAGCCGGACCTGGAGTCCCCCGGGGCGCTGTCACCCCGACAGCGTCCAAGCAGCAGGCAGGTAAGCGCGAGGCTGCCTGAGTTATCGGATCCAAGAAAACACACACACGACTTTCTAGATACCTGGTACGAAGGGTCCTCGGTGCTCCACACACAAAGCGTGTTCCCATCTGCAGGGAAAGCGCAGTACTGAGCACGACAAGCAAGCTGGACGTGGGCCACAGGCTCCTTCAAAGCCACCAGGCCCTTCTCTGTGACCACGTCACCGAGGCAGCGGGCATCAGCGCAGAGAATCCCTCGTGCGTCTTCCATCTGCGATCTGAGGGCACAGGCGTGCAGAGGACAACTACGGGACACCCCTGATGCAGACACCACAGCTCGTCGCACCCACTTACTCACCGCCCCTCCCCACTCCCAAGACATCACTGAAGGTCCCGGAGGTCACACTCACACACACACACACGACTGCTACTCGTCCCGCGGGCTTTAAAACAGACCTTGACTCACAGCCCCTCTTCCTGCTTGACACGCATCCCGCAGCCAGAGAGCACCTCCCGGAGACGCCGACGAGGCTGGTCCTCGGCGCACGAGCCCTGCACCAGCACTGAGGAGTGAACAGAAAGTCATTGCTGACATCGATCACCACTACAAGGACCTCGAGAGACGAAATCATTTCCCAAATCTCCACGCAAGCTGGTCGTGAAGTGCAACATTAACCGAGAGCCCCTGCCGCCTCCCTTGCGTGTGTTCAACGGCGGCACAACATCGTGTCCTTCAAGTCGACTGCTTCAGGTTATACAATCACTGGTTCCCTGACTCCATCTTACAAAAGCATAAATGAATGAAACGTTGACAAAACTAACAAACCGCTTCAGTCTGCCCACCTCCCAGTTAAGGACTTCGCACGCGCGCTCTCTCCTATCCTCGAGGCGTCCCGATCCCGCTCTGCCGCGCCTCACCGCCGGCACGAGGCCTGAAAAGCTCCCCCACAGAACGTGCGGACGTGGTTATGGACAAAGGGTTCAACCATCTGGTCACCAGGGCGGCCGAGTGGACTCACAGGACCAGCTGTGCGTCCCACGCTGGCTTCGTGGGGAAAGGGGGGGTCCAGGCAGAAGAAAACCAGGTGGCAGTGCCCAGCGGAGACGGGATGAGGTTACAAGAGGGGACGTCGTCCAGTGGGGACAGCCTGCTGTGCTCGGCAACGGAGCAGACAGAGGCTCCCACCTCGGCTCGGGTCAGACCCGGAGGGCTGCTGAAGGCTGCTGAACGAAGCTATTCGGGAAAACGCACGTTTCAGTCTGGCGCAACAGACAGGAGTCAGGATCAGGAGGGGTGGGGTGGGAAAGAGAGAGGCCCCGTCCCCACTGCACGCGCAGGGCTCTGGCTCAGGGAGCCTGGACCGCAGGGGACTCTCAGTTCGACCCTTTCTACATCCAGACGTCTCTCCACGGCAGAAGCGTGTTCTAGTTTCCAGGGACAAGAGGCCACACGAATGTCAGTCCCTTCCTCCCCTGTTCTCTCGCATCCAATCTACACCTAGGCCTGTCCTTCCTCAAGAGGACTTTGGCCTCAATACCCAAAAGAAAGATGACACAAATCTACAAAACAATCTAGAAACCAACCCCCCCACCAACAGTGGTGAGGACACCACAGACTGCCCACACCACCTCTTTCCTCAAGGGCAGCCTCCCCCGGGCCCGTCAGCACCACAGCCCTCAAGGCCAACAAATTTCAACTCCGCGCCCACCATGCTGGCTTGCTCCTGGCTCTCAGAAAAGAGCTGTTTCTCCTCACCTCGAATGTCTCTTCCGTCTCAAGATTTCCCCTCAAGCTGTCCACCTGCTGGCCTCTCCCGCTTCAGGTCTCAGCTGAGTGCCACAAACACCCTCTATGTGCCCCTGGCACCTCCTTGGCCTTCACACACCCTGACCCAAGTGACCCCTTCAGAGGCAAAATAGGGGGCCGGGGTCAGGGCACAAGGCTGCGATCCTGCGGCTCCGCAGTGCCGGCTCAGATGGTCCCAAGAGTTTCCAGGACCACGGACGGGGTGGGCCTTCCCACGGAAAGCCTCCAGGACACCTGACGGGGGGCTGGGCCCACAGGACACGGCACCCAGGCGCTGGCAGTCGGCCACAGGCACCTTCAAGCGCGGGGGCAGTGGTCACGACTGAACAGCACAAAGGAGACCAACGAGGCTACTACGCTACGCTACTGAGAAGCGCCCCAGAAGCAGGCAGCTAGCACGCCAGCAGGAGACCCGACGGGAAACCCTGGCCGCAGCTTCTGTGAGGCCAACGGCCCAGGCGAGCGGAGAGATCCGAGCGGTAAAGTCGTCAGTCGGGGCTCGTGCTGGTGCACGCCCGCAGAACAAACAGAGTCTGTTAAAACAAACAAGACGCAACTGTCATAGCCTTGAAAATTCCACGAGAACTTGGGAGAAAAAATAAAAACATTCTCGATATTTTAATGCACAATCTTCTCCAATTCATAAACTTGGTTTTACTTATTACTCTTGCAACTGCCAAGACATGGAAAGGAGTTTCATATTAAAAAAAAAAAAACAGCTAAATGTTTTAAGGGTACCACGATTTGCTCTGTAGGTTTGACCATTTTAAAGGAACCAGTGCCCAGGACCGGGGCCAGCATGTAGCTGGTGATGAGGGGAGGGACCCCGACGGACGCAGTGAAATGACTGTGTGGCTCCTCCAAGTGCTTCCCAAACATAAAATATTGTAAGAAACGTGTAAAAAATATAGAAAAAATTATAACTGTTTAAAAAATTTTTAAGAATCTCCCCATTGGGGCACCCAGGTGGCTTAGTGGGTTAAAGGCTCTGCCTTCAGCTCAGGTCATGATCCCAAGGTCCTGGGATCGAGCCCCACATCAGGGTCCCTGCTCAGCAGGGAGCCTGCTTCCCCCTCTCTCTCTGCCTGCCTCTCTGCCTACTTGTGATCTGTCAAATAAATAAAATCTTAAAAAAAAAAAATCCCCACTGAAGAGATGAGGAAGATGTGGCATACGTGTAAAGAGAGTATCACTAGCCACCAAGAATGAAATCTTGCCATTTGCAATGATGTGGATGGAACTAGTGGGTATTATGCTGAGTGAAATGAGCCAGAGAAAGACAAGTATCACATGATTTCACTTACGTGTGAGAAAAACAAAGAAAAAAAAAAGAGAGAGAGAGAGAGACTCCCCCCAAAAGAAAAGACTCTTAAATACAGAGAGGAAACTGGTGGGGGTGGGGCAGTAGAGGGTGGGGGAAATGGATGAAGAGGGCATCCTAATTCCGGACTTCAAGCTCTACTACAGATCTGCGATCACCAAGACAGCATGGTCCTGGCACAGAAACAGACACATAGATCAATGGAACAGGTCAGAGAGCCCAGAAGTGGACCCTCAACTCTACGGTCAACTAATCTTCGACAAAGCAGGAAGGAATGTCCAATGGAAAGAAGACAACCTGCTCCACAAATGGTGCTGGGAACACGGGACAGCCACAGGCAGAAGACTGAAACTCGACCATTCTCTCACACCTCACACCGAGATAAACTCAAAATGGATGAAAGACCTCAGTGTGAGGCAGGAATCCACGAAAATCCTAGAGAACACAGGCAGCAACCTCTTCGACCTCAGCCTCAGCAACTTCTTTCAAGACCTGTCTCCAAAGGCAGGGAAACAAAGGCAAAAATGAACTATTGGGACTTCATCAGGATAAAAAGCTTCTGCAAAGCAAAGGAAACAGTCAACAAAACTTAACGTTAACCAACAGAATGGGAGAAGATATTTGTGAATGACATGTGAGATAAAGGGCTGGTATCCAAAATCTATGAAGAACTTTTTTGACTTAACACCCCAAAAATGAATAATCCAATGAAAAATGGGCGGGAGACATGAACAGACACTTCTCCAAAGAAGACATACAAACAGCCAACAGACACGTGAAAAGGTGCTCAACATCACTCAACATCAGAGAAATACAAATCACGACTACAATGAGGTACCCCTCGCACTGTCACAACGGCTAAAATTAACAACACAAGAAAGAGCAGGTGTTGGCGAGGACTTGGAGAAAGGGGAACCCTCTTACACTGTTGGCGGGAATGCAAGCTGGTGCAGCCACTCTGGAAAACAGCAAGAAGGTTCCTCAAAAAGTTAAAAATGGAATTACCCTATGACCCAGCATTGCACTACTAGGTACACAAGTACTAATTCAAAGGGATATGTGCACCCCTGTTTACAGCAGCATCTCTACAACAGCCACACTACAGAAACAGCCCACGTGTCCATCGACTGGTGACTGGACGAGGAAGATGTGAGGTGTCACCACTGGTCAGAACGGCTAAAATTAACACCACAAGAAACAAGCGGTGTCACGGAGGATGCAGAGGAAGGGGAACCCCCGAGCAATGCTGGTGGGAATGAAAACAGGTGCAGCCACTCTGGAAAACAATATGGAAGTTCCTCAAAAAGTTAAAAATAGAACTGCCCTATTATGAGGGCTCCTGGGCGGCTCAGTTGGTTATGCATCTGCCTGGGTCAGGTCATCATCTCAGGGTCCTGGGATGGAGCTCTGTATCGGGCTCTCCACTCAGCGGGGAGGCTGCTTCTCCCGCTCGCTCTCCTTCTCTCTCTCAAATAAACAAACACACCTGCCCTCTGGTCCAATAATCACACGACTGGGAATTTGTCCTAATGAATACAAAAACACTAATTCAAAAGGAGACACGCACCTCTGTTTATAGCAGCACATCTACAATAGCCAAATCACGGCTGCAGCCCAAGTGCCCAGAGACTGATGAACGGCTACAGAAGACGACTCACACACACACAACGGAGTGGCACTCGGCCACCAGAAGGAATAGAAACTCGCCGTTTGCAACAACATGGATGGACCCAGAGAGTATTACGCTGAGCACAATATGGTTTCTCCCAATACCCGATGATCTTACTCAGGTGGAATTTAAGAAACAAAACAAATGAACAAAGGGGAAAAAAGAGAGAGAAAGAGAGAAACAAACCAAGAAAGAGACTTTCAGCTACAGAGAACGTACTGCTGGTCACCAGAGGGGAGATGGGTTGGGGACTGGGGGAGATGAGTGATGTGGATGGAGGAGTACGTGTATCATGATGAAAAAAAACACAAAATAAAAAAGACTTTTAGAAATAAAAAAATAAACAGGAGCAATAAATTCACAAGAGGATTAATACCAGGGCCCAACAAAAATTAGTAATCAAGAAATACAACATAAGACAAAAGAATGTCATTTTTCATCTGCCAACTTAGCAATAACTAAAATTATAAAACAAAAATATCCTGTGCAGACTTTTTCCACTGGTAAGAAAATAAACACGCATAAGCTATGTCTATTTGGTAATGTGTACCAAAATATTTTAAGAACTAGATATTGGGGGCGCCTGGGTGGCTCAGTGGGTTAAAGCCTCTGCCTTCGGCTCAGGTCATGATCCCAGGGTCCTGGGATCGAGCCCCGCATCGGGCTCTCTGCTCAGCGGGGAGCCTGCTTTCCTCCTCTCTCTCTGCCTGCCTCTCTGCCTACTTGTGATCTCTGTCTGTCAAATTAAAAAAAAAAAAAAAAAGAACTAGATATTGATTCATAAATGTTCATCCTGTAAACTTAAAACAAGCAAATCATTATACATTTCCCAAAATCCATTTCTTCAGTATGTCCAAGATAGCACTAATTAGAACATAAAATGCAACGGTCGTCCTTACCTTCAGTGGGACACAGTGTAGACATCATGACAGTTACTCTGCCTGTCAGTGAGAACCTTCTCAGTGCAAATTAGAGAAAGCTCAGCCTGAGGGGCCTTAAAGAAGGGGCGCGTCTGGAGGGGCAGGCCTTTAGCTGCAGGGTGTGCGCAGGGCTCCGTGCCGCCGCCTGAGCCAGCCAGGGCTGGCCTCTCCATCTCTGAGCTGTGACTGTGTCTGGCTCTCCTTTCTCCTTTCTGTTGCCATTTGCCGGCCAGCAGCTCCCACAGCCACTCTCTCATGCTCTGGTGCACCGGGAAGAGTGACCATCTCTTCCTGCCAAAGCCTGAACATTCTCTATGAGTTTGGGCCAGTTTGGGCTATTTCTCATCTTTGAATTTACCACGTGATCAGAAGGATAAAACTGTGCTGACAAGTTAGCCCCACATGTCACGAACTGTGACCCCTGGGGCCTGGCCAGGAGAGGGAAAAGACAGGCCTCTCAAGGAAGTGCAAGTACTATTGCCATAAAAGGAACAGATACTGAGAAAGAAAAAAAACCCACGTTTGTCTAAGTCTGTATTACCAGTTAGATGTTCAAGGAGGGCAGAAACTTCGATGAAATACATCCACGATAATATCATATCATAGTACACATATCCACGAACACAAACATATTCTTCAGAGACAGCATTCGGGGAATGAAAGGCCAGCCACAAAGCAGGGACGATGAACAACACAGAAAGCTGACAAAGACATCCAGAACGTACAAAGAATCCCCACAGATCTTAAGGCAGAGACGCCAACAGAACAGTGTGCAAAAGGCACTTCAGGAAAGATCTCCAAACGGCCAGCTACCCGGAGAAGATGCTCTTCTGTATCAGCGGCCAGAGAAATGCAAACTGAAACGAGAGGCGAAAACCGCAGGCGCGCCTGAATGGTTAACACCAAAAAGACTAAGAAAAGAGCACAGAGTACAGAGGAGCTTCCAAACCCCGCGGGAGGGGGCAGTAAGCTGGAACCAGCACAGACCTAGGGGCAATCCCCTGCCAAGGACACACTGAACCACGAACACATGCAGCAAGAAGCACGGACCACAGAACGTCCCCCCGGATGCTCAAAGCAGCACTGTCCGGGAGTCCGAAATCCGCACAGCCCAACGCCCACGTGCCGCAGCCCGCGGGAAAGAGGGGTATATTCACAACAGCATGTCCACAGCAGTGTCTGCTCGGCAGCGGTCTAGCGGCCGGCGGGGCTGCGCTCAGACGCCTCTGGGAAGGAGGCAGGGAGTGATGGCTGCAGGTCCGCAGGGCTGTGGGACGCCGACGCCTCGTGTTCCCAGACGGGCAGCGTGGTCGCCTGCATGTACTCCGGGGCAGTTCCCAAGCCCGGTGGAGGTCTCCCAGGTTTGCAGCCGGGCGTTTTCGTGCACTACACACTGCACCTGGAGCACCACCCTCACTGTCTGGGCTCCACTGTCCCCGTAGGGTGCTGCTGGGTTACAGGAAGTTCTCTCTGAGGCACCTGTTCCCAGGCCAGTCCTTGTTACTTGTCCGTGAGCAGCCTGCGGGGGGATTCAGGTCCGTAAGCAGCTCCTTCTGGACCCACCATCAAGGCATGACTGAACTCTGAGGTATGAACGCAATGTCCCGCTTACATGCTGCCCACAGCTGCCCGTCTTTCTGAAGATAAAGACCAAACGCGGCCCAGCACAGCTGCTGGAGCTCATCCTACACCACATCCCCGCCCCATGTGCCTGGCCCCGTTCCCTGTCCTCCGGTTGTGACCCAGCTCACTCCTCAGATTTGCTTGTCCCTCAGCAACACAGGTGGGAGCTGAGCAGGTCCACTGTCGGCACAGTTCGGGGCAGGAAACCACCTTCCTCATCGTTCCTCTCACGGATCTTGTTGCAAGAACACAGGACGCAGCACATACACCATACGACGTGCGTCAGCCAACTGTTCGCGCTACGGGGAAGGCCTCCCCTCCACAGTACGCTATCAGCAGTCAGGTTTCCGGGGGTCGAATGTTACACACAGATCTCCCACCGTATGGGGGGAGGGGAGGGCGGCACACAAACCCCCTCGTTGTCCAGAGGTCGAGCGTATATAGATACACACGGAATCATATAACTGATTAATGTGTAGCTCTGGGAAAGGGAAAAACGTGTCTCACTATCGTACCCTGGCGGGATCCGAGGTAGACATTCCGCACATATCTGAGTCGTTACAGAGACAGCAGGAGCCGCATGCAGTCAGGGGGCTAAACCCCGCAGCAGCACACCGAGACCTCATACCGGATCTCACCGCAGTCTCCGTCCCCAGGAATGCAACTTCTCACACTCGGCTGGGAATGTCCCGGTCACACCAGTGTGGTCGTCGGGCCCACAGACCCCTTCTGCTCCCTAAAGAAGGTGGCCTTGCCGGAGACAGCGCACGGTCGATGGCTGTCCTTCTCCAGCCTTCCCCGCACTAGAAGCCTCCTTTCCGACAGCTCAGCAACGCTGCTTGCTAGGCTCGATGGGGACGCTGCCCACGCACGCATCATCCAACATGATGGATCCAACGTGATCTTTAAGTTTATTCACTTGAGTTTCTGTGACTTAACAGGTTCAGCGGCCGCGGCGGGATGTGAACCGTCTCCGGCAGCCTGGGGACCAGGACAAACACAGGCGTGGTACCCCGAAAGCACTCTGGGTTCTCTCTGTCCCTGCTTCCAGGGGCCCTGGGTGAGCGCCTCTCAGCCCTGAGCTCCTGGCGCCCCGGATTTCCAGCTGCCCCTTGGTTGCAATCCCTCCCCACGTCTGTCCCCGCGTCCTGTCCCCACACTGCCCAGACTCCACACCGCGGACTGCAGTGGTTATCAGACTGGATCGTGGATCGAACTGGGCCCAAGTTAAGCTGGACTAGGCCCGACTAGGCCTCGGGAGAATAAAATTTTGTAGCTCCTGGGGATCGGGAAAGCCCACGAAGCTGGAAACCCCGTGGGCGCAGGTCAAGCGTGTCAAGGCCGCTGGAGCGCTTGTCCCTCCACAAGATGCTCCGAGAGAGCGAGCTCGTCCCAGACACGGCAAACGGGATCGCAACGGACGTGTCCTTGGTGGTGGACTTTGCGGCCAAAGAAAACATGAAGTGGAGCACGTGACGCCGAACGGCGCGTCCCGACGGCAGCTGCCCCGGGGCTCGAACCGGACGCGGCGGAGGCGGGCGGGCAGGGACGGGGGCGCCCAACCCGACACACTCGTCCCCACCTGCTGCCCTTTCCCGTCACTACATGCGCACGAAGGTGCTGTTACTCTCCGCGCGCGGCTGCTTTAGTATCAAAACAAAACAAAACAAAACAAAAACTTTATGAAAGAAAAGGACGACACCCCCGCTTCCTCGCAGACACTGCGGCCGCCGCTCGGCGCCACGGCTCGCGTCCCCCCGGCCGACCGGCTTCCCGGGCTGCGCGCGGCCGGCGGGGGCACCGCACGTGCGGGCAGACGCCCCGGCGGGTGGCGTCTCCCGCAGCGGCCCGAGACCCGCCGCCCCGGCCCCATGCTTTCGGGGCGGGACTGCACGGACGCCCGCGGCCGCGCAAGGACGAGAATCCCTAGCGCACAGAGGCCCGTGCGGACCCGGTCCAAGGCCCGGCCGGGACCCTTCCCGCCGCGTCCCAAACGCACGGCGCCTCCCGAATCCGCTCGGAAAGGCTCCGGGTTCCTACAGGCACCGAGGACAGGGGACGGGCGCCACGACAAGCTCGCGTCTGGGGCCACCTGCCTCTCAACTGGGCCCGCGAGGGGGACGCCCTTCGCGCCACGTCCCCACCCCCGTCGCCCTGGTTACCAGCCGCCCCGGCGTCGCACCCAAAACTTCTCGTCATTTCCGCCAGAGGCCAAGGACGGTTGCGCTTCCGGGTCGTGCCTCACTTCCGGGCGCCTCCTCATTTCCGGGCGCCTCCTCACTTCCGGGCGCCGGCTCATTTCCGGCTGCTCCGGCGCGGCGGCCCAGACCCGGCCCGCATGCTCCAGACCCGGCACCCCTCCGGGAGCGGCGGTAAGTGCAGGGCCAGGGCTCCCGCGGCCCCTCGCTCCGGGCAGGGCCGTCGCCCCCAGCGCTGCCCCTCCGCCCGGCCTCGCGCTCGGGCTCCCCCTTGCCGTCCCTTTCTTCCCGCCTCCCCTTTCCCACCCTCCCCCGCGGCTTCCCCGCCCCCTCCCTGCTCGTTCCCCCGCCGCTCCCCCTGCTCACCTCGCCCGGCTCGCCCGCCCCGTCTCCCCTCCCCCGTCCTACCCCGCCCCCATCCCACGTTGTCCCGCTCCCCCCTCCCCTGCCTCTCCCCTCCTCCTCCCCTCCCCCTCCTGGCCTCCGGGGACCCGCCCCCGAGCAGGGCCTGGCCCTGCTGGCCCGGCGCTGAGCGCGCTCCGGTCCTCCGGCAGGACGTCCGCGGGGGAGCAGGTGACTGAGGCGGCGGGCATGGCCGCGGCCTGGAAGCGCGCGCTGCTGGTCCTGCTGGCCTCGCAGGTGGCGTCCGCGGCGGGCTCTTCGGAGGAGGACGAGGTTCCCGGGGAGTGGGTCCTGCTGCACGTGGTGCAGGGCCAGATCGGAGCCGGGAACTACAGCTACTTGAGGCTGAACCACGAGGGGAAGATCGTTCTCCGGATGCAGAGCCTGAGAGGGGACGCGGACCTGTACGTGTCGGACAGCACCCTGCACCCCAGCTTCGACGACTACGCGCTGCAGTCCGTCACCTGCGGCCCGGACGAGGTGTCCATCCCCGCGCACTTCCGGCGGCCCGTGGGCATCGGCATCTACGGGCACCCGTCGCACCACGAGAGCGAGTTCGAGATGAAGGTGTACTTCGACCGCAGCGTGGAGCCGTCCCCGTTCGCCGAGGTCGCGGCCTCGGACGGCAGGGACCCGGGGCACAGGCACGCGCAGGCCCCCGAGGACGCGCCGCAGGAGGAGGAGTCGGTGCTCTGGACCGTCCTGATCAGCGTCCTGAAGCTGGTGCTGGAGATCCTGTTCTGAGCCCCCGAGCGGCCCGGGCGTCCCGCGCGGCTCCCTCGGAGCCCGGCCGCACCGCCTGGCGGGGATTCGGCTACTTCTCGCGGAGGACGGAAAAATAAAGCCATACGGTTCTGTTACCTCACATGCCCCCCAAGGAGGGAAAACAGCAAGAACGGTGTGTTGTTTTTCTCCAAATGTCTAATTCCTGTAACGGGAGTGCGCGCAATAAAACGTTCAAACCCCAGTTTGGTTCGCTCGCCAGGTGACCGACGTTACTGCAGAAACCCGCGCGGACGCGAAGCGCGGGGAAACGGAGCACCGAGCGCGGCATCGGCGTCCGACGGGAGGCCGGGCGGCGAGAGCTGTGCCCTGGCCGGAGACTCCCGCTGCGGTTCTAGTGTGTGCGCTGCGGGGACTCACTGAAAGCAGGTCCGGAAAGTAATAATTTCCGGGGCTCTGCTTGTTCCCGAGGTCAGGGGAGCAGCCCCGTCCTGACAGGTTTCCAGGCAGACCCAGGTCCTTCCTGTACCTGCTGCGCCGACTGTCATCCGGCCACGTGTAAACCTCACCGCGGGCGCCTGTAATTTCAAGTCTTGCATCATTAAGTACAACCGGCCAGAAACAACGCAGATTAGGAAAGTTTCCCGCAGAGACTAGTCGCTTTCAGGTCATTGGAGGAACAGTTGAGATTTCAGTTAAGTTCTCTAATATTTCCCACCGAACTTATGGATAGAGCCAAAGTACTAACGAGATTAAAAAACACTTTGGGAAAATGATTATTTCTCTACTTGAAATTGGCTTCAAGGGTAAAAGTGGCTCATAACAAATCAACTGGCAGATTTTAAGCATGTAGTTAATTTCAGAAATCTTTTATTGGCATAAAATTGAGAATGTAAATAAGTTGGCACCAAATATTTCATTTAAATCCATATTACAATATTGGGGTCAAAAAACTATTTTATCCCTCTTTGCTGTTTTTCCCCCTTCTGCCCACTTTCCTGGGTGTTGGGGGGGCTCGCTGACAACAGTCACAAATCCAGCGACCTAGGAGAAAAATTGTTAGTTAATATAGTATGAAATTTACTTTTTTAGGACTGAATTTTAAACCCATTTGGCTCTCCTTTCTTAGCTATCACTAACGATACTTCTCTGTGGATCTGTGACATGAAGGATACTAACGAGTTTCCTAAGAAGAAAAATGTAAACTTCCCTTCATTAGTGTAATCAGTACCATGTGAAATTCAGTGCCGGGGCGGGGGGATTCTCTACAGTGATACTGATTTTAAAAAGTTTCTGCAATCCTTTCTGAAATCCAAACACTATCCTACTTCAGAGTTCAATACAGAAATCCTCAGATAAAACCTGTTACAGAGTTTGGCTTGTCTTCAGCCTTTCTCTCTGCTGCCCAGTGGCAGCCCCGAGGCCGGGCGCGCACCAGACACAGCACTTTAAGCTGACCAGGGATGAGCTGTGCCGCGTACTCCTGTCCGAGTCACTACAGAACTTCAAGTCGCCTGCTTCTTAATGGTTCCCAGGAAACTTAGCTCTAGGCATGTATGTTATAAAAGTATTATACAGTGTTAACTATGCAAATAAGTTCTAGATTTACACAATTACGTGTAATATTTTAGTCCAATTACTGTGATTTATTCTCCAGCTCTGTGTTCATTCCAAAGTTATCTGGAATTGTCATGCTGCCTCATTTTATAGAAATCTGGTTTAATATTTATAAAGGCATAGCGGTCATTTTTGTTAAGTTTCTGAATAGATGAGCTAAAAATAAAACCAAGGCTTTGAAACAAGTTGATGCTCTTGCTTTTAGTTCTTTCAATAGAAAGACATGCTTCCAGCACCTGGATGGGACATCCCGTTTTTTACTCGGGTCAACCTAGCAAAGAAAAGCAGGTGGACGTTATCTGGATAATCACAGCTTTGGTCACTTCTTACGAACAGAAGGATCTTTATGGTGTTTATGCGGAACCTTTAAAAAAAGGCTGGGAGAATCCCTCCACTCAAAGATAATGCTCCTCCTTTTTTCAGTCTTTACCTGATGGAATAGCACCAAGGCCCACACAAAAAGTATGATAACCTCTGTCACACACATCACAGAACATCATTTCTTCTTCATGGTGGGGTTGTCCACATATAATGCAAGTTTTACATTCCATACATTGCCATGGGTAGGTCTTAATCATAGAAACAAGCTCCATGGTCATATCCAGGCAAGAAGGATGGCCTAAACCAAAACCAACATTAGTATTTCACAAGAGAATTTTGAACTTAATACGGCACAATAAAATGCTAGTTTGCTTCAAGTGCAGGAGTATGGCTACAACGTTTAATCACCAAAGAAATGAAAATACAAGAAGTAGAGAAAAATACATGGGCTTCTCTATGCCTCACAAGTTACCCTATATGATGATTCTTTGATTCAGGTCTAGCTGACAACTAAAAATCCTGGCTTTTGAAGCAACGAATAGGGTGGTTACAATGCGAAGAAGACAGGTCGGTACTCACCACTATTGTCACACTGGGAGCAGTGTATGAGTGATTCAGCCTTCCCTTTCTTGTTGGACTCCTTACCCTTCAGACAAATTCCACATAGAGCATTTGGAATGACCTTTGGCTGGAAGGGTAGAAGAGGGCTATAAATTCATGCCAGAAGAACTTACTGTGGGTTCATAAGGAATTGTTACTGCCTTATCTTTACTCTTGGCTAACTTGCTAACGAGGACCTTTCGAAGGGCCTGACTTGAGAGCCAGCTTTCAACATACAATGGCCTACTGACTAAAGCCTCAGATTTCTTTTAAAAAATTCTGTCAACAACGTGATCTGGTGTTAGGATTAAATGTAGCATTCTACACTCCCTACGTGAACTAGAAGGGAAGCCTACAACGAAAAATTGCTCTATTAACGGGAAGAGGAAATCCAGGTACCAAATGACCATTACGTGTATAGTCAGGCTTACTGGAAAACAGAAGGCTCCGTGTGAAGCAGCTTACATACTGGTCTTGTTTAAAAACGGACTATTTTCTGAAATCTATGAAATCTAAGTTATAAGAATCAATGTTTTAACATTTTTAATTGAAAGATGTCTCATCCATACATTGTCATGTGCATAAATGTTTCTGGAAACCAAGCTATGATTATTTCCTTTGCATATCTAATAATAAAAGAGCCTATGCTTAGGGAGAAAGCATTCCACATGAGATACAAAACATAAAAGAGGAAAGTAAGTTTTCAGACAAGCCAAAAAAAAAAAAACCACACTTAAAAAAAATTACAGACACCCTCATATTCTTGAGTACCATTCACTGTGCAGCTTAAAGCCTTGCTCAATCCGATGAAAGTACTTGGGCTTTAAAAAAACACTGAGCAACACACTGGAAAGGACGAAGAAGAAAAGATGCAGGGCACCTACAGTCGTTGGGGAGGAGAACATACAAACATCACAGCTCTGACCACAGCGAGACGACGTTCGTTCACGCTACTTGAACACATAAGTGACGGAGGCAGAGAAAGAAGAGTACGCGTGGGCCAAGTAGGAGACGGGCCGGCCGATGTGCGCACATGACCTGCGGGGAGATGCTCTTCAGCAGGACTGTGGTATGTTTTATTCCAACCCCACCAAACGCATCTTCTATGTCCCTCTCCTAAGTTACTAAAACAAAGAGGAGCCTCAAGGAAACTCCAGCTTGGTATACAGCATTCCAGCTTTGAAATGTCTCCCTGCCACCTTCAAAACCTGTTAGGCCTAAACAATTTGTTCTTAATTCTTTAAATTTTTTATGTTTTAAATTGTCTTTCTTTGCAAAAGATGACAGAGGCATTCAAAAATAATTTTTGGCTTATTTATTTAAAAAAAAGTCAACCTTATACATAAATATAATAAAAACAGTAACTCTAAACAATCACAAACGTCTCTACAAAATAATAAATATCATGGAAGTTAAAACATACATATAGAACTTTACCGTTAACTATTCTACATCTCCTATATGTGTGTCCGTATACCCTGCTCCCCCAACAAAAGGATCGTGTCCCATGCTCACACCGTGTGCGTCTCGCAGAGCAGTTACCCTCCACTGCTGCCCCTACATTCTAAGCAGGAGGTTCTCTCTGTGTTTCCTACACCTAAATACAAAACACCCAGAAGTGCACTTCTATGATCCAAGTTCTGATCCGGTGATGACCACACCTGTAACTGCCATAATACACAGCAGAAAGCTCGCTTGATGCACCAAAATAAGAAAACTCTTTTGGCTATGGCACCTGCACTGAATGTAAAAGACAGACTTATTTAATACTTGTAGTTGAAGCTAGATACTGGCATACCAAGTATTTGAATATCTCTCACTAAAGTCAGGGACGTAACTACACAGTATTAAATTCTAAAAGAACTCCTTATAGGAGATCCTTTACAAACGTCAAAAAGGAATCAAACACAAGCTAGTCATTCACATTCTAGAGCAATTCAAGTTCTACAGCCATTAAAATATACATTAAACACCTAGGATAAAAAAGGGACACCAAGAAAATTCTAGGTTTACTTCTAAGCTTAAAATCATAATATTTTGTTAAGCCACTTAAAATTTTTCTTACCCAATAGTCTTCATCTTGATGAAAAGAGGGAGTGACAGGGGTGGAGAAGGGAGAGAGAAAGAGAGAAAGAGCTTTGTAGCATTTCCTATGGCAATTCCTTGCTCACTCAAGCACTCCGAGCTCTCTGAGAAGCCACGCTGCTCACAGCCAGGACCGCCAGCCGGGAAGCTCGTCTCTGACGGACACTCCTCCGATGGAGGAGGAAGGGAACCGCGCACAGAGCTCCCGCGGCGACTGATGGAACAGACCCTGTGTCTGACTGTTCTACCTCTAGTAACTGCAACAACATCAAAGCTTCACTATTGACAAGAAAATTAAAATACTCATCCTAATGGTTCTCAGCATCTCAAATAAAAGGCTCACAATACACTGACTTTCCTGCTCGGGAAAGAACCGAAGATAAGGGAGACTTTCACGGTAACACTAATATAGTATAGATTTTAATTACAAACTTGTCGCATAGGCCTGAATCCTAACAATTATGCTTTCGCTGCAGGTTAATGTAACCTAAACAATACTGTCCTACAAATGAAGGGCAAGCACTAGTGAATCTTATTAAGCAAGACATTGGATACGCCATCATTTCTGGTAACTCCAACGTATTTATGTATATGACCTTCAGCTTGTCAGCACCCGAATATTTAGGCACATCTTGGCTTATTAATATTTTTCATAGAGAGGTTACTTTTAACAAACATGTTCATATTAATGTATTAAGTCTAGATACTGGTTGTTCTAAACTTTGAAACACCTGAAACATTTTTAGGTGCTAAAAATGTTCACAGATATTATAAAATGTGTATTTTGCATATTACACTCCCTTGAGTAATATCAATTTAGGTTAATCTATAGAATTTCTTCTAGATTAAATCAATGATACTGTGGAATAATTCTTCATTTTCAGCCTCTATTAAAACATCTACCTCACCACTCTCCCCTCCGAACCCAGGATGAACCCAGGCTGGTGGTGAAGTCTCCTCCGTGCTCAGTGCTCGAGCTGCCGCTCCCGGCTGAAGACGGGCAGTGCCCTCCGCGGCGCACGGCAGGCTAGCTTTCCAAGACTGACTCTTTGGACTTCATCTGCTTTCAATTATGAAGCATTAATTTACAGCTTTTACATTTAAAAAATTAGGTAAGTTATCCATGTACAAACAAGTACAAAATCGCACGGCTGCGGCCTATTGAAGCCATCCCTGGAAGCCGGCCTTCGCCAAACGAAGCTTAAGACTGGCTTGCCACAGGCTGAAGAAACATGTATTTTTAATCTGATTATATAAAGGCATCTTCAAACTGAATATGGATTAAATACACTAATTTGCTAAGTTGCTTTATTTACTTCAGGAAAAGAAAGGCAAGCGGACTGCAAGAAGGGTCCGGCTGGGGAAGGGAAGTTGGCCGGCAGCCCGCGCGCACCTGTTCCTCGAGATCATCCACCGCGACCCCAATCCTGACACACGACGAGATGGGTCAACAGTCCCACTCAGCAAACCGCTCCCTTGCCTTACTCTAAGACGCTCCTTCCAAACACCTTCATAACCACAATAAAAGGCATAATCTGATCGAATCCGGACTGTATGAATGGTCTGTCTTACCATTACTGTCCAGAACATAAAACCGTGCAGCTGATGTCACCTCTTCCAGGACGTTCCAAAACCCCCACGCAGGGGTAAGGCTACTCACCTCTCACCTAGCCTTCTGAAGGGGAAGACGCTGACAGAAACATGGCTGAGAGCACACGGCCTTACTCTGAGCCAGGCTACGTCACTAAATGAAGCCTACATCCCGGTCCTAGAGTTGGAGACGCTATTTGCCAAGGCCAGGCTAAAAATCACCACAATGTAAATAACAGGTTGTACTACTTTCCACCGCAGAGTCAGCTAAATTTGGCCAACGGATCAAATAATCATTGGATAAAACCCAGATCTCTTTCCAGAAGAGGCAGCTTATTCTAAGAGCCCATCCACCCATCCCTCACAGCTCAGCTCTACTCAACACTAGGACGTTTTAGACGTCAGAAAATTACGATCTTTACTCCAAGGAAACAAACTATAAAGTTCTGCCTACAAAATAAATTTTTTTAAAAACGCATACTTGCCTGGTTATTGTTTAAAAGTCAAAAGAAGATTTTCTTATAAATTGTACATCTCCAGAAACAGAAGCTGAACCAGAGGCCAAAGTGACAGCAAAGCCACCAAGAAAAGAAAGCAGAAGAGAAGGCAGCCGACAGAGGGCACACACCACAGAACAGCGAGTGGGGGGCGGCAGGCAGAGCTCCCCCGCTCTGGAGGTCAGAGTTAAAACTATGTCGGGGAAAGAGGCTGGTCAGGAAGGGAAGCAGAGTCAGGGGCTTTTTTCTTCTACCTTGTACCCAGGGACTGACTTGGACAGAACAGAACGTTTGGAAGCGTCTTTTCTTGGAGTAGCAGCTTTGTCCTTGGATCTCTGTCTTCCCTGGAAAGGCTCCTCCTGGCCGTCGGGAAGGCCTTCCCCCTCGGACACGTTGCCGGAGGAGCTGTCCTGGAGGTCAGAAACACAAACAGAGACTCCTTGGAATTCACAGACTGGACTGTGATTTGTAAAAAGTTTTAAAGTTCCATCAACCTAAAAATAAGAAGATAGCTAAGGAGAAAAAGCTTTTCCAGCGCAGACTGAAAGAAGTCGCGTTAAAGGTCACCCACCTGCCTTATGAATGCGTGAGGGCACAGAGCTCCCTCCACTCCCGCCGGCCAGTGCTTTAACGCACCGTCTCCGGACGTGACACGACACGACTGTCGGCTTTGGTGCTTCAACTGCGCGGGCATGGTTTCAGACAAAAAACCGCTTAAAGAATACACTGTCTTAGATAAGTATGGGTATTCTTCCTGAGTAGTAAGTGTCACGGGTCCTTCGAGCTCCGCCTTGTATCCCACACAAGCACCAGTGTCACCGAGTCCTTATGACAGTATCTGACATACTTTATATGTTCAAAGTTCAGCACTTTGCTAACTCATCACTGAATTCTTCATCTATTAATTTAAAATTTTCTAGTTAAATAAAAATGCTATGTTCGTGTAAATTATGAAAATTTTAAGTGAGAAAATTAGGTTATTCATAACTACTCTGATAAACATTCTGAGACAACCACTGGAAACATGAACGCATCTCTTTTCAGTTGTGTGTCTGCATACAAATACCCAGATTCACACATTCACACACTCAAACATATACCCCATCTACACGTATCCCTCATTTTATTAGAACACAAAACTGGTGGGGCACCTGGGTGGCTCAGTTAAGCGACTGACTCTTGGTTTCGGCTGAGGTCCGAGTCGTGAGATCGAGCCCCACATCAGGCTCCGCGCTCAGTGTGGAGTCTGTTCAAGCTTCTCTCTCTACCTCTCCTTCTGCCCCTCCCCCACTCCGCTAAAATAAATAAGTCTTTAAATATGATCTTAAACACACACACACACACACACATTGGATTCCACTGAGCGCATGTGCATGGGTTTTTCAACTGTTTTAAGTATTATGTGCATTTTACCACATCACTACACATTCTTTGAACTTCACTTCTGTCATGTAAATGTAATATATCACCTTAAATTTATGGACATTAAATTTATTCGTAATTTCCATTATAAAAAATACTGTTAACACTACAATGGCCATGGTTTTCCTAATTAAATTTTGTCCTTCAGGTAAACTCTGTTAGGATATTTGCTAGGTCAAATTCTGTGGAAGTTAAAAATCTTGGTATAAACTGTTAAATGCTCTCTGAAATGCTGGATTACTTTATTTTTTTTTTAAGATTTTATTTATTTATTTGACAGAGATCACAAGTAGGCAGAGAGGCAGGCAGAGAGGGAGGGGGAAGCAGGCTCCCCGCAGAGCAGAGAGCCCGATGCGGGGCTCGATCCCAGGACCCTGAGATCATGACCTGAGCCGAAGGCAGAGGCTTAAACCCATTGAGCCATCCAGGCGCCCCACAGACTACTACAGGCAGAGTGAGGAAAAGTCAACCTCAATATATCCTGCTCCCACCACAGCTCCCCTTTTACCAATAAGACAGGAAAAAAGTGGTCCCATCACTTTAATACTTGAAGAGCATCTCATTTTATGTAACGTGTATCATCAAACGTTTTAGAAGTTGTTGCTGACAAAAAAATGTCCTGGCCATTTAACGGAGCACGCTTTTGGGTGCAGGCTGGCTATAACGAGGGTTTAAAATGGCCAGAGCCACTCGGCACACCGCGCCCCATCAAATCAAAATCCTCTGCTCTCCTTCACCTTCCACCAAGCACACCAACTCTCCCCAGTCATGCAACCTCGTTCTGCTTTAAAAAGAAAAGAAAAAAAAAAAAAGTCGTACAAGAAAACCTACGCAATAACACCTTCAAACTTTCCTATAGGTAATCTAAATTATTAATTAAGCAGTAGGATGGGGTGCCTCAGTGGGCTAAGCGTCTGCCTTTGGCTAAGATCCCGAGGTCCTGGAACGAAACCCGGCGTGGGGAATCCCGGCTCAGCAGGGAGCCTGATCGTCCCTCTCCTCCCTGCTTGTGCTCTCTGTCACTGCATCTGTCTCTCTCTCAAATAAATACGAAAAATTTTTTTTTTTTAATTAAGCAATAGGAACACAAGTTAATGTACTCCCAAAACCAGGACAGTTCAATACAGGATTGTAAACTCATGTCCGGTGCCCTTTTGTAACCTGCCTGTGATAACCTGAAAGGCAACTTTCAAACTTACCAAAGGCCATCCATAGCCTGCCTCTACCAATGCACACAATAATTTTCTTGACGAAAGCGTTCAGGAAATCCCATGCAACTGTCCCTTTTCGAAAAGAGGGTGGTGATACTTGTTCCATTCGACATCTGGGAAAGCAATCAGCAAACCCTCTAGGGGAAGGGGACACCTGCTGGTGAAGACCAGCACTCCTACCGAAGTCCCTTTGTGTTTCCGTTTCTCGTCGCCTCGACCGTCCTCAGCATCGTCCGAGTCGCCATCGCTGTCGAGGGCCGGCAGCTCGGGGTCCAGGGGGGGCTCGTAGAGCGCGGTGTTGAGTGGCAGATACCGCAGCTCATCCGGGGAGTACCTGCGGCTCAGAGAGGTGACCGTCAGTTGCCATCTGTGAGGAACAGGACTGCTCTGACCCACGATCTTCAAATGCAGCCTCAACTGTCCCCGCTAGCCCAGCTACTTCTGGAAAATGATTACAGATGTAACAAGGAAGTTTTCATTTTTTACCAAGTAAGAAAAGTAATAGAAAGCTTAAACGTTTTTGTACCAGGCTAAGAGTATAATATACATATTTGATTCTTATTATCAAAAGATCATGTCTCTCTCCTTCATCCTCAACCCAAAAAGAGGGGAAAGAAGTCAGCAGACTAAAGCGGGAACTGAGGCAATTAAGGACCCTGCACAGAAGCCACGCGGCCCGAGCGCCCCAGCCCTCCTCCCCAAGTTATCGCTGCTGCTCCGTGTGTGTGGAGAATCTGACAACATGGCCATCTCCCCGGCCGACGAGGGCCACATCAGCGGATGCGCTGCCGCACGCCAGTACGCGGTCCACGACATTACTGAAGAAACAAATGAACCCTTTGTGTCTGACACTAGAGATCAGCAGCAGCCACACCAGAGGACACATCTGTGTCACTCCCACCCACAGGCCACCCTTGCCAACATCACCCGCTGTCCAAACCCTGAAATCTGCGTTCAGCACTGCCTCAGCAGACACGGCAAAAAGCAAAGGGCCTGCTACCCTGGCATATCACTTTTAAAAGTCTGCTGGCCCAAAAGTGAAATTAAAGTCTGCTAACCTATGATTTAAATTTGGCTTTCTATAGTCTATTTTACACACTAGCCTTTAAAGAACAGTCTCTTTCCTCAAGAACATAAGGTTTAAGGCTGACGTAAAAGCTGAGCTTCTCAAACAACATGCTCCTGCTAGCCTGGGTTTCAGCGACGTCCCGTCGGGAACGCCAGACGAGCAGCACTCTCACTCCCCGCGTGTACGCAGCAGCAGCCGGGGCAGCCGTGCGTCGGGGACAAGCAGGTGCTCGCGCCCATCGGGCGGCCACTCTGCTCCTTCCTTCGTCTCCCCTGCAGATCACGGCAGAGAATATGACCCGCGCCCAGTGTTTTGGAGGCAAGGACACCAGACTCTGAAGTCCCCCGCAATACGCAACAGTAATGGTCATAAAACCAATGAGTACCTTTTGTAGTATTCCTGAAACTGTCCGGGGATGAGGGCCACCGGGTAGGAGCTGACCTTGGTTCGCTCTGTCGGCAACACTCTGTACTTCCCTTGAGGCACCTGGATGACCTGGGTTAAGGTGAAGAGAAATGCACCACTGACTGCCCCCCAGGAATCAAGGTTTTAGAGCACAGTCCCACCCGTTCTCCGCTGCGCCCCCTCCCCCACAGGAGACATTAGGAACCAGACCCCAGGGGACAGGACAGTGTTTCTCGCTATACAGGGAAGCTGTATCTGGCTCATCGCAGTGTGAGGGACACACGGTGTGCTTCCGCCCCCGGGGAGAGAGCAAGGGGGCCTGGGCAACGCACACGCACGTCCTCATCTACGGAAGGAGAAGAACGCGAGCTTCAACCTCACGTGGCAACTGAGTCTTAAGTGAACAGAGATGGAAATTTCTTAAAAGAGCCTTTGGGACAAGCAGCAGAATATCAACCTCAGAGCAAAAGACACGTCCCTCCCTCCTCTCTCTCTCCCTCTCTCACACACACACACACTCACACGGAGAAGCAAGCAGAGTACTGCAGGCATATCCTAAGAAGTTCTGTCTTAACTTCTGGGGCAGGAAAGGACACGCTGCTGGTGCAGAACAACAGCGGTTCCACAAAGCAGGCCCCGCGCGTTCTGCCACAGCCAGCACGAGGGAGGCTCAGGAACTCATAAAGGGAAGCAGCCCTACGTGCGTCTGCAAGTCGAAGTAAGCTCTTCGTTCTTCCATACGCTCCCGGTTTAAGTTGCTGTTAAATTCGGCTGCTTTTTTGGCAGCTTTCTTAATGTACTCAGGCACTTTGCTGGCTTCAACTTTCTGCGTATTCTGTTGTTGCATTTGCTGAAATAAAAATATTACAGTTGGAAGTCACATATGACTTCACAAAATGTCACTCTCCCCAAACCAAGTAAGAGATGCCAGTCACCTCAATACTTACAGAATACTCTTTATAATGGTCTGTAATTCGCTGACGCTCTTTTTCTTGCAAAATAACAGAGTACTCAGCATGTTTGGCTGGATATTCTTTTATCATCAAATCAATCACTTCATCACTGCGCAATGCCGTTAAACCTATTTTAGACCAAAAAAAGTAAAAAAAAAAAAAAGCTCTTTTAAGGCTGTGAGCAGAACTACTTTTCAAAATTTGCTTTTTCTTTAATCTACTCTACATTTAAAGTTTTCCAGTAGTCAAGGGAAAATACTGTAATACATTAAAAAAAAAAAACAGTATTCATAATATTAAAGTCAAACACATAAAAAAGGAAACTCATGAAGTTGTAAAGAAAAATAAAACAATTTTTCAACCACATTTTTTTTAAGATTCCACGTACTACAAACATATACCCTCTATTAAAAACAATGGCTAAATAATGATGCATACTAACTACAGGCCATTGAAGATTAAGGATTATCCTTAATCTAATATCCTTAACTAAGGAAGAATATTAGAAGAAAACAAGAGTTTTTCAGTAGTCTTTTGTACTTAATTTTGCAGTACTTAGTCTTCAAACCGAGTACACTAGGAATATTACAAGGAGTCCATTCACACTCCACGGGAAGCATCAGCACACACACAAGTCATACAGGCCATTTTCAAAAGTCAGAGCATCGCGTCAGACCAACTGCTGTGATGAACAACCATGGCTTTACGTTAAAAAGTAGTGACGGTGCATTAAAATGTTTATGAAAGAAAAACTGGCAACAAAGCATGGAGATAATCACATGGAACAAAAAACAGAGCAAAATGTGCATCACAAGAGATAAAGACCAAGACTTGTAAAAACTACCATACAAATTTTGCACAGCCCCCCACACTTCTATGAAATGTTATGTCATTCTCCTTTTTTTAACAAAAAACAAATATAAACAAGTTAGCACTTAAATAGTTCAATCTATGCCATTAATTTTGTAAAACACTTTAGCAAAGAGGACAAACTCCCATCCAGTGTCTCTTCATAAACACCCAGTTTTCAGAATCCCCATTCAGAGCCTCTGTTACCTAGAGTACACTGTGTCTCCGTGATGACATTCAACTCCCGCAGGTAGAGTTTCTCCTTATGGGACAAATCTCGTCGCTCTAAATCTCCAAAGAAAAGAACAAAAGACTATGAGAAATAGTCTTTTGCATTTGTAACATTATGCATTTTTAAAACTTTTAAAAACTTAAAAACCTTTTTAAGATTTTTTTAAAAAGTTAAATTCTTTATGGACTTAAAAAAGTACTGTGTGTTATAAATTCCAAAGATTTTTACTAAAGAGACCACGCAAATAATCTTACAAATACAAGGAATTAAAGCTAAATTAAAGTTGAAAACAGAATAACCCAAAGCAACAACAGCACAGACAGCTTTTCTCAAATTCAGACACAGCCCCACGTAGCTCCTCCCTCAGCAATGGGAAAGAATCCAACTCCTGCTGCTTTCGGCCATAATAGGACTGATTTCTAAGACTCTTCCCCAGGAAATTCACCTTCCACATTGTGCTTTTAAGTCCATTTATAAGGCATCAGAGCAAACTGAGAGCGGAGAGCAACAGTAGGTAACGGGAGAAAGGAAAATCAGCTAGCAGAAGAACGTACAATATATTACCTATAATCCATACTCAAAGATTCAGAAGCTGATAACTTATCAAAAACAATTACTAGTAGTTCAAAGTCAAGCTTAATCTGTTACATAAACTAAGAAGTAATACCTGGATATTTCCGTTTAAAGGAGGTCACACCCAAATATTCACTGACTTGCTCCTGAAGCATATAGTATTCTCCTGTTTCGTCGGGCGGCCACTTGTACTCTATCAGATTTTCTGCTGGGTAGTAGCTAAAGCTAAGCACAGAAATATGTATTATGCCTTAAGTGTGGCTTTTATTAAGTTTTATTCATTTTTATTTTAAGGAACTATTTTTGAATTTTTAGGAATTTTAGAGAACTACTTTAATTATTTAAATTCTCATTCAGTGTTCCGACTCTGCCATACATACACGATCCCCTAGTCTTGTGCATCCAAGAACACAACAGAACAGGCAGAGGGAGAGGAAGCAAGCGGTGTGCGAAACCCAACAAGAGTGCACGGCACACGTCCGCACCCCAAAGAACCAAGGCTCAGCACTGCCCGCTGTAGAGGAATTCTGTGGCGTAAGAGGTCTACACAGCCAAAACGGTGGCGACGTTCGTCCCGAATCCCCTCTCCTGGGCTCACACGGACACCGCTATTTCACCTGCCCAAGGCACAAAGTCCCCCCCTTGTTTCCCACATGCTGTTCAGCGAGTCAAACAGCTAAGAAAGCAGAACTCCAGAAACCTGTTTCTCAAAGAGCTGAACTATAAACCGTAACTGTCTGTTCTCCTTAACTCCACGAGGCCAGAAACACAGAACAGACCCGGTGTGAAGGCGCCCGGTCCCACCCCTGCGGACTGGCCCCACCCCTGCGGACCGGTCCCAGCCCTGACCAGCCAGCGACGGAGCTCCGGACCTGGCCAACCCAACCTCTAAATCTCACCAGGGGACACAGCGGCAAGAATAGGACACATTTTAGGCATCCAATTAGAAGTAACGACCAAATAGTAGTTTTCTCAAAAACGGTGCTGGGAAATCAGATATCCACATGCAAAAGTGTGAAACTGGACCCTTACCTCCAATCACATTCAAAAATAGATCAACAACCTCAACAGAAGAACCAGAGCAGAAAACTCTTGGAAAACACAGCAGTAACTCTCCCTGAATTCAGATTTGGCAACGGGTTCTCGATAGGACATCAAAACCATGAGCAACAAAAGAAAAATAATTTAAACTTCAGCAAAATTAAAAATTTTGTGCATCAAAGGACTCTTCCAACAAAGTGAAAAGGCAACCAACAGAGTAAGAATTGCAGATCCGATAAGATTAACACCCAGAATGCACACAAACCTCCCGCTGTGCAACACCAACACAACAAACAACCCAACTCAGAAATGCTTTTCTGCATTTCCTCCCTCCCCCCCCCCACACCCCCGCAAAGAGCCACAAATAGGTACTGACAGGATGGTCAACTTCACTGGCCATTACAGAAATTCAAATGCAAATGACACTGGGCTGCCACCTCACACCCCGTATGATGGCCACTAACAGAAGTAGGACAGAACCAACAGCGCTGGGGACTGCACCCCTGCTGGGAACAGAAAATGAGGTGTCCACTGTGGAAAGCAGCTTGGTGGGTCCTCGAAGTGCTAGACACAGAATTACCATACGATCCAGCGCTCCTCTCCAAGGGATACACCCAAAGGGACTGAAAACAGGGACTGAACACATATTTACACCCCAACGTTCACCGCAGCACAGTTCACAGCAGTCCGAGTGGGAAACCACCCCACTGTCCGTCACAGATGAAAGGACAGACAAGAGGGGTCTGTCCACACAAAGGAGCTCAGTTCAGCCCTAAAGAGAAAGAAGATGCTGACACATCCTCCAACATGAACTTTCAAGAAATGATGCTGAAAGAAGCCAGACACAAAAGGACAAATACTGTAGGATTCCATCTACACGAGGTGCCTGCGACAGGCAAACCCCAAATGTCCGCAAGGAAGATGGTGGCTGCCAGGCGCTGGGGAAAGAGGAAGTGGCAACGGTTACTGCTTCATGGCCAGCACATTTCCACGCAGTAGAGAAGCATGAGAGGGAGCGCAGGTGGCAGCTGAAGGACGCTGGACACAACCCGTGCCACTGAGTGACACACCCAGACATCACTACAATGTTGAGTTTTATACACGTATTCGTCACAGTAAAAGCAAGTTTAAATTGCACTGAGTAACAAAAGTAATGTTGCGTCATATACAGACCATGACAAAAATACTGTACAGTTTCTAATAACTACCTTTGCCCGTGTGGGGGCCGGGGAGGAGGGGGTGCCGCAGTGAAACGCGCCACAAGAACTACTAGTGAGTAATGAAATGACGGTACCCAAGGTCTTGACTTGAAGTCTCACAGCTCCTACAGCTATCTCCTGAGCCCGTTCGCCTCCTTTTGGGTGGTTGGGTCCCATCATTTGAATTATCTTCAGTATCATCCTATACATTTAAAAAATTCAAAAAGTAAGAGAAACAGTAAAAAAAAAATGAAAGAGTGATTATATATCTTCCCAGACTTGCTAAAAGCCTCCACTTAAAGGCTTTTTAAGGACAACGGATTATACAAATGTTTACTTTCCATTGTAATTAACACGAGTCAAGAATTTGGTATGGCGAGACCTGGAAGAAAAATAAAAAAATAAACGTGATGTCCAGTACAATCTAAATGAGAACATTTTTAATTAACCTGTACACCTAAATCTCCTTTCGGTTTCTTGCCGACCGCAGTTAAGGCGCCCGCGCTGCAAACACACACGGCGTCGCTGGACCCCAGCGCCCCCGCGACCCGGGGCCCGGCCCGGAGCTGCGGGGCGGACGGTCCGAGCGGCGCGCACAGACGTGACCTCTGTGGAAACAGGACCGAACGGCACCGCCCGTCCTGCTGACTGGTTCGTGCTCGCAGCGCAGAACCTTAGCAAACAGCCCCTAACCAGCGTCATCCACGCGCGCAGCAACACACCCTGCCGAAGGGGAGGCGTGAGCGTGACTGCGGGGAGACCCCCGAGACCGCATGCCGGTCCCCGCATCCGCGAGGCCCACACGTCTGGGAAACGGCCTCGGCCCCGCCGCTGAAGCTCGGCGGCTGCGGCGCTCACAAAGTCCCTGAAGCGCGGCCAGGACACGCAGCCCCGCGCGACGAGGACACAGGTGCTCAGGGCCGGGTCCTCCTGCCGCCCGCCGCGAGTCTGGTCCCGCACAACAGGCGCGACTGGACGCTCCGGCGGGTTCCTGGGCGCGCCCGCCGCAGCCGCCGGGGTCCCCACGGGCACCGCGCCTGCCGGCCGCGGCCTCTCCCTGTCGGAAGACGGAGACGCGGCGCGGCGGACGCGGGTGCGGGCAACTCCCTGCGGGGAAGCGCGCCCCGCAAGGCCCAGCGGACCATTCGGCGCCCCGTAAAGTTGGCCGCGACGTGACCGCGACGTCCGCAGCGGCTGCGCCCCAGGAGCTCAGACGGCGAATGCCCAGCGCGCCTCAGGCTCGGTCCCGCACGGACAAGGCGCGGGCAGCCGGGCGGACCCGCACCTGCGGCTCCAGGATCCACCACGAGCGCGCGGGCCACGGCGGGGCGTCTCCTGCTCCGCGCTGCGGGAACGACTCGCTATAAGCGAACGCGGGATCTTGCTCGTCTGACTCTCGTCTGAGCATTTCAAGGGCTTCGCGTCGCCGTGAGCGCACGCGCCCCGCCTAAAAGTTGAATCGCTCAGAAAAAGTTAAAAAGGCAAAGTCCCCGCACACGCGGCAGCAGTTTCGCCGGCGGCGCCCCGCACGGGTGCCTGGTGCAGGGGCCTGCGGGGACCGGGGCCTCCCCCCGCCCCGGCGCCCTGCCCAACCCCACTCGCGGCCGCTTCCCGGGGGCCCCACCTTCGGCCCCGCGGCCCAGACCGCGCGGCCCCGCTGCTCTCGGGCGCCTCCGGCCGGACACGCGGTGCCCTGAGCTCGGGGACACGGCGCCTCCCGCGCTTTAGCGCCCGGAAGGGCGGCGCGGGGGGCGCCAGTTCCCGAGCGAAGTTCGCGGGCGACGGGGGCTCCCGCCGAGCCAACGCAGTCCCGCGCCGCCTCGCAGCCTCCGGGCCGCTTTCCCCGATCGCGGCCGGGACGCCGCACCCCGGGAGCCGCTTCCGCCCGGCGCGCTCCGAACCCCGGCGACGCGCACCCCGCCCCGCGCTCGCGGCCAGGCCGCCCCCGCCGCCTCAGGGGCCGGGCCGCGGGCGGAGGGCGGCCTGGGTCGGGGGGGGACCGCGGCCTCCGGCTCTTCCCGGCGGGGGACCCCCAGCGGCCCGGCCTCGCCGCCGACCCCCAACCCCGCCCCGCGGCCCCGTCCCGTCCCCGCCCCGCCCCGCCGACCGCCGCTCCTCACCTTCGGGGACGGCGCTCCGGGGGTGGCCGGGTCACTGTCGCACGGCCCCGGAGACAGCGCCGTCCCGGGGCCGGCCGCTGCCGCCATCAGCCCGAGCGCCCCGCGCCGCCGCCTCCGCCGCCGCCGCCGCCTC